AAATTTCATTATCCATTTAACTATGAAATATAAAAACTACTTTATAAGTGTCATGTTAAAAATTTCTCCATACAGTTCATGTGGATTCCAAGTCACTGTGGCATTACTGCAAATAAGTTATCTGATAAGTTAGCAAATGAGGCAGTGTATTGTGGGGACATGCATCCTTACAAAAGCTATAGCCATGAACTTTTATCTCTTCCTTAAGATGATCTTTATAGTGCCTGGTAAGACCAAATGTTTGAGAACGAAGTTCGCGAGAAAAGTGTAAATTCTTTGCATCTATTGCAACCATGATTCCGTAAATCCAATTATGGTAAGAAAGCTATCTCAATTATAATATGAATGCGTCTTGGATATGTCTGCAATCTTGTTCATCTTACTAGAATTGGCATTAAAAATAACAATGTATGTGACTGCGGCATGGGTATGGTTGGTGATCTCAACCACATATTCTTTGTTTGTTTGAAATGTGATAGCTCCTTCTTTTTTAATGATCTTGTGTCCCTCAATATTCCTTTCCTTACTTCTGTGTCTAACTTATTGTCCACTAATAAACCGCCTCACTAATTCGATCATCCACAATAATAATAAAATATAATATGTGTATATGTTTTATGTTAATGTGTACTTTTGTAACTATGTTAATAATGAATTATTTTAAACTTTTTGATTTAATTTAATCTTGCAATAATATACTTATACCCTCCTGATCCTAATACTTACTCAAAATCCCGAAAACCCTCCTTTTTTCCTTACGTTTCCTAATCTTTTACTATAATTATGAAATTGGCTAAAATGCACAAGCCGTGCAAAGCTATACAATAAAAAAAAAACGGGGCAAAAGAGTCGAAAGATTGTGGCCGAGGATATCTATGGACGTGAAAAAAGCGCGGGTACCTTCGAAGTGTGAAGGCGGAAATTTTAAATTTTATTATATTTAATTTCGGTTTTTAAGGTTCTTGTCAAAACAAAGGAAGCAAATTAGTTATTATTATTTAATAATACATAGGTAATCTAAAATGGGGAGGAACAAAGTGGGCAAGAAGCGAAAGAAAACTGAACCTGATAAAGATGACCCCGATGGACTCCAGGTGGACTCTACCTCTTCAGACTCTGATGAAGATGGGGAGGAGAGCCTTCGCGTCCCGTATTACGTCACAGACTACACCCGGCTATACCAGGAAGATTCAATGAATACAGAATATGTGGTCTTTGTAGAGTCAGCAGATACTCAGAGACCCATAGGCACAAGGGATCTACTTTCACTGTCAAATTGCCTTAGACGATACATAAAGGGAGTAAAGTATCTACGTTCAATTAATAAATACAAAATTGGAGTTTATTTTGAAAAACCAAATTTGGCTAATGCTTTATTAAATAATAAAACTTTTCTTCATGATAATAATTTAAAAGCAAACATTCCAGCTTCAGCAGCAGAAATCACCGGAATAATAAGAAACGTCTCTACTAAATATAGCAATAACAAATAATATACAAACACAATGGAGTTGCCATCATCATTAGCAATAGACTATATTATAATAGATTAAGTACACACTCTGATGATTCAATACAAAACCTAGCAGTGCAAGTTAAAATAAACTATTAACTATTGTCTCTATATATTGTCCAAGTAATAGCACACCTAGATTTAACATAAGTAAGTTCACTAACCTCATAAATGAATTACCTAAGCCAATGTATATTTCTGGTGACTTCAATGCTCACCATACCATTTGGGGTTGCCACACGGTGGATGCTCGAGGCAGAGATTTATTAGATAGTTTAGATAATTGTGACTTGGTCTTATTAAATGATGCACAAGCAACTACTGTTGGCACTGACACTTGGAGACCAAATGGTTTAGATCTCACAATGGTGAGTCCTGTTATAGCATTGAACTGTGACTGGTTTGTTAATGATGACCCTCTAGGAAGTTACCACTTACCTACGTTAACTCATATTCATATTAGTATAAACCCACAAAATTTTGAAATGCACAAACTCCCTTCTCATGTTAACTTCCGTTTAGTCAATTGGGAAGATTACACGCAATTAGCAAACGAAACTTTAAAAAGTCTTTCTGTTTGTTCTAGCGATCCTTTATTTTCTTACAATAGTTTCTGTAATAAAATAACATCAGCTTTACATAAATCAGTTCCTAAAATCAATCATCAAAATCATAGAATTCACGTTGACGTTGACAATGACAGTGACAATCCAGGTGTTTCTAGGAATAAACGTTTTGTTTTTCCTAATCCCCATACTCGAAAAAGGAAACATTTCGCTGTCCCTTGGTGGAATGAAAAGTGTAATAAAGCTGTACAAAATAGTAAGGAAGCTTATATTAAATTTAAAAACAACCCATTGCAGGAAAATTATGTCAACTTTAAAAAAATGCAAGCACAGAAAAAAATCATTATAAAAAAAGAAAGGACTACTAGTTGGAAGGAATTCTGTTCTGATAAAATAGATCATCTCCTCTATCTAAAATTTGGCAAACTATGCGTAAATTTAACCGGAGCTTTATTCCTCAAATTGAAGAAGAAAATCCATCTTGGGTAAACGACTTTTTACGAAAATACACACCTGATTTTGTAGAAGCTGCACCTTTTCCTTCAGATTTGCGATTGAACTCTTATTCCTGCGAAATCACTAATAGTACGAATGATTACCTAACTTCACCTTTCACTTTGTCTGAATTAACTGCTGCAATAAAACTTAGAAAAGATACAGCTTGTGGCCTAGATTTTATATCATACAAAATGTTAAAAAAGTTAAATTGTAATAGTATCAAAAAACTCTTAGCCATATTTAACGGCCTTTGGGAAAAAAGTTTAATTCCTGATAACTGGAAGATAGATTGTTTGATTCCTGTCATTAAACCAAATAAACCCAAGGCTTGTGCTGACTCATATCGCCCTATAACTTTAACTTCTTGCATTGGTAAAATATTCGAGCAATTATTGAAACACCGACTTGAATTTTATATAGAAAGTAATCATTTACTACCAAATAACCAGTTTGGATTCAGACGTGGTCGATCTGCCCGTGAAAGTATAGGATGTCTTCATACTGACATACAAAATGCACTAAAAGATAACAATATAACGGTGTGTATATTCCTGGACATAGTTGGTGCCTTTAATAACGTTAATTTATCTGTTCTGTCAACCACACTATTTAGATTAGGTATTCCATATAAGATGGTTAAATGGTTATTCAGCTTTCTTAATGGACGACAAGTTTACGTAAAAATCAATAATAATTTACATGGCCCTCGACTTTCCCACAAAGGAGTTTGTCAAGGTGGAATTCTAAGCCCTTCATTGTATATATTGTATATTCATAGATTAAATGAAATACTCGGGCGAGATTTTACAATTTCGAATTTGCAGTTCGCTGATGACTTAGTTATTTACGCAAAGGATTCTAAACTTTCGTCATTGGAACCCAAACTAAACAATGTCCTTTCACAATTGTATTCTCATTTTAGCTACCTGAATTTAGATGTTAATACAAGTAAAAGTAATGTGGTTGTTTTTAGGAAAAGATTTGTAAACGTGTCTAACTTAAAATTACTCTATAACGGTCAAACTTTACCCGTATTGAAATCAACAAAATTTTTAGGGGTTATTTTTGAACAAAACCTATCGTGGAAAGCTTATGTCGATTGTTTGATAGACCGTTCTATGAGGGCTACCAACGTTTTAAGATCCCTTGTTGGTTACCAGTGGGGCGCCGATCCTAAAATTTTGCTTCTGTTGTATAAAACTTTAGTCAGAAGTCATTTCGAATATGCTTTTTTTTGTTTTGCGTCTGACAAAAAATTAACAGACCGACTAGAAAAAATACAAAATAAAAATCTAAGAATTATTTTAGGTGCTATGAATACCTCACCAATAAATTCTATGCAAATAGAATGTAATTTGCCCCCTTTACATATACGTTTTGAATTTCTAAATTGTAAATTTTTATTAAAAGTGATGTCTATAGAAAATAGTTTACTTAGAAATAAACTTAGTGCATATAATACCAATTCCTTTTTACATAATGGTGTAAATAACATTTCGAGAATTATAGATGATAATAATGTATATATTAGTGATAGGTTGCCTTGTTATAAAGGTGTGTATAAAAGTAAATTTCAGGAAATAAATATAGTAATAAATAGTGATCTTTCTTGTAAATATGATGTTTATAACGAGTTAAATGTATGGGCTGAATATAGACAGTTGTACACCGATGGATCGAGGAATAACAAAAATGTTTCCATGGCGTTTTATGATTTGTACACAAAAATTGGCCATGGCTTGAAATTACCAAGTCAAAGTAGCGTTTATACAGCGGAAGCAACAGCTATATTAGCAGCTTTAGAATATATTTCAAAATCTAGCCATAGTAAATGGATCATAATAACAGATAGCATGAGTATACTTCAAGCCTTATCAAACCCAGCGTTTTCTTCAAAATCCAATTACACTATACACGAGATCAGAGAAAAATATTGTCAACTTACAACATACGGAAAAGACATCATTTTGTTTTGGACTCCATCACATATAGGCGTTTACGGAAATGAACAAGTAGATACACTGGCAAAGATTATAACTAACACGGCTGAAAATGTCCCTGTGAAAAACATAAAGATTCCTGATTCTGATTGTGTAGAATTTCTAAAAGACAAAATAAAGAAGACATGGTTAGATCATTGGCATGAAACTTTACAAACTAAAGGTGTTTGGTATCACAATATTAATGATACAATCAGAAAGCCGTGGTTTGCTCAGAGAAATTTTATTCACCGAAAATTTTACACTACAATATGTAGACTGCGACTCGGACATGGACGCTTTAACGAACATTTATTCAGAATGAACATGGTCTCCTCCCCATCATGCTCGTTCTGCAGCTTCTCAAGTCAGTCACTTCATCATTTGTTCCTCGAATGCCCTCATTTTGCTCTTCAACGAATATTTCTCAGTAATAGTTTGCTAGAAATCTACAATTCAGCCGAGAACATCCCGCGTTCCTTACCTGTACTTCTCCAAAACCCACAATGTTATTTGGCACTGTATAATTACATCAAGAGTACTATAGAAGATATTTAAACTTGGATTTCGAATTATTCCTTATGAAGACTTGAAGAAAAGAACTTTTAGTCTTGGCTGTATGGCGCATTTGTCGTCTTTGCCTTTTCCGTTTAATGAACGGAAAGAACAGAACCAAAAAAAAAAAAAAAAAAAGATTGTGGCCGATGATTGATTGCAAATTTTCGATTTTCAAATAAAACGTAGTCGAAAATCATCCCCGCTCTCAAAATAATTTCACATTATCGATTTACGTGTATTTTGAATTATTAGTGGAACGTGTTGTCCAATAATCAGAAAGGTAAATTGAGAGTGCACGGAAATTTACTGGTGTAATTGCTTTTGTAGTTTGGTATGCCGCGACGATGTTTCTGTATTTCTTAGCTTACGTACCTAAAACGAACGTAAAGACTACACGCTTAGTCTTGAAAATTTTTAAAGTGGCTTCTGTGTTTACGACAGCCATGTCTGGTTGGAGGTCAAAAAGGGAAGTATTATGGAGTGTTATTGAATTGTGTAGTGCAGTGATTTAATTTTTCAGTTCTAGTTGGGAATTCGGTCATCAACCGACTGTCACTGTAAACTTTTGCATCGCCTAAGATGTACTTTACCTCTAATGTTTTTGGAAACTTGGGTTAAATAACAAGTTATTAAAATGGATGACGATGGGGATGATAAAGATGACTCTAAAAGGTAAGTCAAACATAAATCTCAGTTAGCCTTCCCACAAATCTTATTGTTGAAATGTTTTGAACATATTACACATTTTACTTTTGCTGCTAGTTTAATATTAAATGAGTAAAGAACATAATAATGCTAATCAAGTTTTTACTTCTCTTCTAGTCTAGAACATAAAATAATAACGAATTAAATAAAGAAGATTACAAAATTGTGTACTTTATAATGTGTTTGTTACATCAGTATAAATACTTTCTTAAATAATACTTTTGAATAAAGTATTTTCTATACTTTAATATTGTATTAACTTTAATATGTTGAATTTTTAAACTTTTTTTATGAAATATGATTCGAAATATCGGTCAAGAATAATGCAAAAAATCATTAACAGAATTAATAAGGTTTTCGGGTTTTTGGTGATTAGTGTGAGCAAGCACATAAGAAATGAGCAACATTTAGACATGTTGCAATCTTTGTGCAACTGTTCTTTCTCAGTTGCGGATTGAAAATTTTTTATAAAAATTAAATAAAAAATGGAACTAAAAGTAAAAAATTATATCCAGTCCATGATTTGGAAGTCGGAAGAGCCAAGATTAAAATATGTAACAGGTTTTCATTTGTGATGATGATAATATGTGTAACAGTTAAGCATAATTTTCTATGCAACAGTCTGTTCCATTGCACTGACACAACATTTTCAAAAGTCAATATGTGCTCGGAGTTTATTTCATGAATAATTTTGGAATTTGGCTAACCTTTTTATAACAAATTTATTAGTTTCATATTTATATAAATTATACTAAGATTGAAGACTGTGGTTGTAGACTATGAAGGTTTTTTCTTTTCTGTATGTTTTAGAAGGACTCGTAACCTCAGTGAGAAAAAACGCCGTGATCAGTTCAATATTTTGATCAATGAACTAAGTACAATGGTTTCAACTAACAACAGAAAGATGGATAAATCAACTGTCCTTAAATCAACAATATCCTTTTTAAAAGATCATAATGGTAAGTTTTTAAAGTTAACACAAGATCGTATTTACAGGTGCTGGGGCAACTTTAATAACAGAATGCTCAGTTAACAACCAACTTGATTAATGTTTTAGCACCATTTCCAACCCATTGTTATAAAAATGGGCACTTTAGATTTGATTTGTCTTAAATATAAAGAGAGGTTTTATTAATTCAACATGTAATCTGAAATTATAATTTTGAAATAATCACATGAAAAACTCATTACTTAGTATCTTACAATTAAGTGTGAATTGTAGAAACTGCTGAATAGGCAAGTACCTTATTATAACTATAATTTTAAATAATTGTTTTAAGCTTTTTTTTTTGTATTTTGTATAACTGTGCCGAAAATACGCCGTTGGTCTCGTGCCGCTAGCTGCTTTAGTTCACGAGATACGAAAAATCTGAGATATCTAAGAATAAGGCTAGTTAGCCCCCAATGATGGGCCAATATTTTTCCATATCTAGCCAGCCTATCTGTAGCAACAAAATACGCCGTTGGTTTCGGGTCGCTAGCTGCTTTAGCTCACGACATACGAAATATCTGGTGTCTTTGTGTTCGGGGGTTGGGGTTTAATAATATAATAACTTAAATAAAACTAGTTTTATCGGGTTAATGCACAAACTTTATTTATTTACTAGCTGACCCGGCGAACTTCGTACCGCCTTAGCGTAGCTTTGATGCACTACTTTATTTTGTATAGCTGACCTATCTTATGTATGAGTACCTATTCATTGTTAGCGCGGTTATGGATGTGTTGTTACAGATTACCACAGATTTTTTTGTTTTAAATTGAATGACGTTGACATTTGTCAGTGCGGTTATCAATGTGGTGTCACAGATTACCACAGATTTTTTGTTTTAAATTGAATGACGTTGACATTCGTTATGTTATATTTTTCAATCTTTCTGAGAGATTTTCTTTATATTTTTTTCCGTAAGAACCTTGTACAGAGTATTAGAAAACTACATAAAAAAAAATCAGCCAAATCGGTCAAGCCGTTTTCATGTTATGTCGTGACAACGGAAAACGGGTTTCGTTTTTATATATATAGATTGACGTTTCGCAGCCTTCTTAGGTCTGTATCATCAGAATAATGATTTTTTATTTACTTTGTCGAGCTACCTTTGAAACTTTTATTGAGCGTTCGGATATTTCATTGGAAGATTTTTAAAACCTTATTGTCTATGTATGAAATTATTAGTTAATAAGTACTTTATTTAAAATTCTTTTTTGTAATTTTGAGTTTATTTATTTGACCCTAACTACCGTAAACTACCACCGGTTCCAAAAATTGGGCGAAACAAACTCAAAGAAGGAGATAGAAAGCCTCTGTGAGTTTGTTTTGCCAGTTCTTCTCAGAACGGTTTCCCAATTTTGGAACCGGTGGTAGTTAGGGTCAATAAATAAATAAAGTTCGTGCATTAACCCGTTAAAACTAGTTTTATTTAATGAGTGATTTTCGTGAAAACCTAATAAGTTGTTGTATAATTTCAGATGAAACCCAATATAATAAGTTGTTGTATAATTTCGGATGAAACCCAAAAAAATATTAATGTATTAGTTCTTAATAAAGATTTTGAAGTTATTAATAAAGGTTAGACAAAAGACCTACATAATGACTGCATTTGGCGAGTCAGGAATGAGGATACATAACGATTTAAGCTGTGAATGCAGATTTATAGAGCTAGAGATTCCATAAACTATAGTGGTTAAATTTTTGTTCTACGACAAATATTGACGAAGTTATGACGAAATTACTAAACGAATTTTCGGCTGGCCGCATGGTGATTGACGTCACAGCTCTAGCGCTCGTGCGCGAGCGTGCCTAGAGATCCTACAAAAATTCGACCTTAGTGAACTACGATCGATCTGTGTGACGCACACGATGCGGCCGCCGGTAAATATTGGCAAAATAAGTTATAAAATCGCAACGGATGTACCGATTTCTATGATTTAAAAAGTACATTAATTAAAAAGCTGCTCAGAGTTTCTCTCTCTCCCACACGATGGACCTGGCACCCGCACGGTGAATCCATACATTGCTAAGAAGTTCGTCTTTAGTCCTAGATAAGAGCCTTGAAGAAAGAAGAGTCGAAATTAGCTTGAGGTCACTCAAGAGGAGGGTTTTTGGCTGTCTATACCAGTAGTTACCACCTGACTCAGAGCCCTTAATTTCTCAATGAGCACTGAGTTGCCTGTCTTCATTTTAGTCATTATGCGAACCTTTAGTGGCAGTGGGCAAGGTGCAGTACAAGGAGAACTGACGGCTGTTGGGAAGGAAATGTCCTCGAGAGGCGGCCGCGTATCGGTAGACGCAGCGTTGGTAGGCCCCCCACAAGATGGACCGCCGATCTGGTGAAGGTCGCGGTAATCGGTGTCTCGGACAGGACAGGACATTATATATAATCGACGAAATATTTTACATTAAACTTTTTACAATAGTCAATTTCAGATGTGCATAAATATATTATTAGGAATGTTGATAAATTATGTAATTATTATTATCAGACTATTATCATTTTTTAATATTAATTAAATCAACATTGTCTGCATTATTAATTACAGTGACAAGTGGTTTATGGTAACTAAAATAAGACACATGGACGTTCGTAGATACGTGGTTCACGAATCTTGAAAATACCGCATCAATGGTTGTACCATACCTCGTTGTCCCCTTTGCTCTATCAGAAACAATATCTAAATTCAGTTCAGATTTTAAAAAAAATATTAATGTCAATCCGTCATCTTTGTTTGTCAAAGTTCTGGACATAGGATGCGCACCAAAAACGTGACGAGGTCATTCATCGATAGATTTTACTCCTCACATTTTTCTCATACCGGGCCCCTTATTTAAGCAAATCGATTCTTAAGGAGTAAACTCCAAAAAGTAACGGACATGTGCTGTTCATATTAGATAAAAGTGAAACCTACAAACTTTTATTTGTTACCAGCTATTTTCATTTTATTTAACATAACAAACACGGATACCTATTCGACAAAATTACGGATACCTATCTTGTATCAAATACTCTACTTCCGTTTCATCGAATTTCAAATCAAAATGGTGTTTCAATCACAATCGAATTTCAAATCACAACAATTAAGAAATCGTAACATAATAAACACTACAGAGATCGAGGTCGTCCGTGAGCTTGTATTCCTCATATTCTTATACATGTCAGAGACATGGACTTTACTTGATATAAAAAGATATCTCTCGAGATGTGGTGCTGGAGAAGAAAACTTAACGTGTATTGTGGACGGATATTAAAAAAAAACATACTCAACAACTCATCATCAAATATCTCAACACTGATGCAGTTAAGTTCTTTTGGACTTTATGATACAAGCTTAAGTGGAAGGTACTAGAACACGCGGCAGCACGAATGCACCCAGCGATTCCACGAATAGAGCCATGTGGCGGCGCCGGTGGAATAATTGCGGAGGTTCTTTCTTCCCCGACGCTAAGACGGTAACAGTAATTGTTCATAAGGATCCAACAGCAAAGTACATAATTAGAGAGAGAATTTGTTAAAAATTTGGTTTGAGACAGGACAAAGATTAATACACGTTGGTGTCACTATAGACAAATACCTGTGTGTATGTGTGCGTGTAAAAAATGAGATATAACTAATATTTTATATATTACTAGCGAGCTCGATGAACTTTGTTCTGCCTAACTACGCCTACCTGATCCAGTTGTGAATCTAAATCCGAGGTCCACTCGAATGCACACAATAAAAAATCATCGGTCCCGCCGTATAGAACGAGTTAAATTATATAATCGCGGATTAAAGAATTTATTGTAATTTAAAGTATGAAATTGTCGTAATAGATATAAGTAAATATCTTTAAAAAATAAAAGTTTATTTCAAAACACACCAATATATAACATATTCTAGTAGATTTTCCAGCTTTACTATATAAATAGTGTAATTTATTGATATCTGACTAAACATAAAATTGCCTTTACAGAAATAACAGTCAAGTCACGTGCTCACGATGTTCAAGAGGATTGGAAGCCTTCTTTTCTATCTAATGAGGAGTTCACCTATTTAATTCTGGAAGCATTAGAAGGATTTGTTATGGTATTTTCTGCTACAGGAAGAATTTATTATGTATCAGAAAATATTATCTCATTACTTGGTCATAATCCGGTAAATAACACTTTTAATGAAAATGAAATGTTGTAATTTTAATATTATTCTAAAACATTATACTTTTTTTTATTTTATTGTTGTAGGCTGATATTATAAATAACAGCATATTTGATTTAACTTTTGAAGATGACCGGCCACTTCTTTATAATCTACTCCAAAATCATGGAACTACAGTGAATCCTTTACAGCCAATTAGCAAAGGTTTGTATCAATAATTCAAGACCTTATTTATTATCTCAAAATAGTATAAATGGAATAAACACATTTATGTGTATCCTTCTCTTATTATAAAATGAGTATATATATTAATGAATGAATTCTGTGTGAAAAATTTACTGTCAATTGAGTTACAGTTGCTATAAAGAAGATATTTTTTTTAATAAAGTGAGGCAATGATTTTAGTATGCTTCCGGAGTGTCATGCTAGCACTTCACATTTTAATTTTTTTATACGAGGCGCAATAGATAACTCCACCTGATGTAAAGTGTAAGTGGAGTCCAGTCGCGAAGATATATTATGCGGCAGAAAATGCGCCGCTACAGCCATCCTCACCTTGCGGCCTGAATCCAATTCCCTACTCGACGGAGCCTTGGAACTCTATTCACAAGCAGAAACACAACACCACCAAAAGGTAGTGTCATTTTACAGTGTAGTACTCTGTAAGGTGGAGGTTTCTTCCGCAGACGGGCTCTCCAAATCGAACGGAAAATCCAGTGTGCCCCCACTTGTATTAAATTTGACAGTGGCTGATAGTTATCATGCTTTAAATAGATAATTTCGTCTCCACGTTGATGAGTCACTGTTGACAGATTTTCTCTTTATGTAATAGTGTAAATGAAAAGGATATACTGCTGGCAAATACGTATAGCCATGTGAAGAGCCAGTATGACACTCATACCACAGTTTTTATGTCATGTGTTTATAGTACCTTAATCTTTTGAATTACATTTTTTTATTGTGAATGTAATTTATAAAGATTTATTCAGAGATATTCCAATTTTGGATAACTCTTAGACTGCTTTGCGAGATATATATTCATGTATGGATTTTTATTTAAGATCATACGGGTCTATTTGATGCAGAACTATTTATAGTTATTATTTTGTTATAGTTAAGAATTTAATATTGAACTTTCATATATTTGAACACACTACATAATATGCAATATGCATACTGAGTGCCGATTCTGAAAAAAAAACTTGAGCGCATGAAGCAGTTTAATGCTTAGAAATAAAAAAATAAGTAACTTACTGTCAAGCTTCCAGTTTTAATTTTATCACCAATATGTCTTTTGAATATTTCACAACTGTATAGACTACAGACTTACAGTTCATATATTTAACATACATTGAAGGAACAAAATAAAAATAAGTTCAGTGTGAAGAGCTCGCGTTTAATTTGTATTTGTACATTAAATGGAAGTCGATATCGGTGCTTGGAGTTTGTGTAAACAGTTATTGCTCTCGTATTTATTTAATGTTAACACTGTGATGTAATTATTGGCGAGAATTATTTGTTATTGTATTTGTTTGGCGAATCTTTTGTTTCTTAGATCTTAGTATGCTAAATTTTCTATCTAATGTCTGTTTTTTATTATTATTAATGAATATGATTTAGTTGTCGAAAATTAAAAATAATTATTTATTCTCGTGTTTGTTTGCGAATATCTGGAATAAGGCTGTGCGATATATCAAACATTTTTTACTAACAAACCTATTTTATAGTGAACCTGGAATGGGTTTGATGCCCTGTTGGGTCAATGTAGAAAAAAGTTATATTGTCTCGGATCATAACACAAGTGCTTTACTTCTTCCTTGGGGTTTAGATTTTGTTATTGTGTAACTAAATAAAGAATGAACCGTATTTAATTGTTCGTGGGCTACATAATTTTTCTTCTATTATGTTTTTATTATGTCGTTTATTGTTGCGTAGCCAAAGTGATTTCGTTTTTAATTAATGAAAACTTTTGCGATGATTGAATATTCAAATTATATATTATAAACATAAAATAAATTAATAGTTAAAGAAAACTAGAAATACGAGCTTTTATAAATGCATGTAAAAACCAAAAATAAATTATGGATCGTTTAAGTTGTCTCTAGTTCTTGGGCTGAAGTGTAAACTAAACTATGTTTAAATTATGATCTTTAATTGTAAAAGCGTGGGGCGCTGGAACAAGAAAGTCTTTTTGTATAATTTGCTGAGAATTCGAGATATTAGTAATGCTATATTCATCATTATATTATAATGAATCGAATATTTAAGGGAATACTAGTCGTGCTGCAACTCCAGTTACAGGAGCGCCAATCTGCGTAACATACTTCCCGTAACATAGTTTAACTTGTATTTTTTATTTATTTTTTAAGCATTTAACTGCTAGATGTTTAAATCTAAAGAAAAGTTTACTAGAAAAAAATCCACGCGTACCAGGCAGCGGACGGGACTCGAACCCGCATCCTTCGCTATCCTGCCGAATGCACTGACCATTATGCTACCAGGGCCGTGGTAACATAATGGTCAGTGCATTCGGCAGGATAGCGAAGGATGCGGGTTCGAGTCCCGTCCGCTGCCTGGTACGCGTGGATTTTTTTCTAGTAAACTTTTCTTTAGATAGTTTAACTTGATTGACGAATTCCGAGATGAAACCGATATTCCCATTCACGAGCCCTTTCGTCTATGTTGGATAGCAACATAATTTTAGCCCCTTTTAAAATTCTTAATTTACTCGGAAATCCACCCGTTTTATTTATATCGCTGGGCATAAAGGACTCCGAGGAAGTATTTCCAAGGTTTCGGGTCACGTCAATTAGTTGGTCTAGAGCTTTTATGTCGTAATTTCAAGAACCTTTTCATTCGTAAACTTTAAGAACTTCATTGTTGTTCTTGGTCTTTGTCGTTTGTTTTATAAATACGCAAGTGCTTTTTCAAGCGAAAACTCGCCAGTAGCATTAAAATGTAAAGGTCTATATACATTTTATACAGGCACCTATGTCAATATTTACACTATTTATATACTTACACTTAATATTTATAAGTCAATATATAATAGGTTTGTTATAACCTTAAAACCTGATCGTGTTCATGTCCATTACATGGTCTTTCTCACAAGTGCAAACACGACTGATACGATATTCCATCATGGAATGCCAGTGCCTATCTTCCGGCTTCATCATCACACCTTGAAACCGTGGTCAAAGTTCATTACAACTTTTCTAAGAAATCCAAAAACAGCTATGATACGATATTCCATCATGAAGTTTCAGTTCATATCTTCCGGCTCCTTCATCAGATCAGTTCGTCAGTACCATATTATTGTATTGTTATAAAAGCGTGTTAATTAACACTTTCGAAATCCTGGAGAATTTACTACCTATCCAGCCTGATTGTTTTGCCAGCCAGACCTTGGACGAGTTGATTTCTCTTTAATAAATAATAAATAAATAAAAAGCAAATGTAGAGACGGAAAAATATACTTAAGAAAGTAACCTCACTCTCCGGAGCAAGAAGATCTTTATATATATAATTCTTCTGTGAGTGTGTATGTCACTGAACTTCTCTTAAACGACTGGACCGATTTTGATGAAATTTTTTGTGTGTGTTCAAGGGGATCTGAGAATGGTTTAGATTCACAATTTTGTCCGCTGGACAACCCCTATTTTTTTAGGGCGGTACGAAGTTCGCTGGGTCAGCTAGTATATATATAAGATAGAAGATAGAGAGACATGGAGGTCGACGGCGCAAACGGTTAGCGCGTTGGGTTTTGTTCGTTGAATTGAGCAACTTTCACAGTAGTCGGTCATTGGATGGGTGACAAAAACATTTTATATCTCGAGCTCTTCTGTGCTTCGGAAGGCTGCATCTGCAGTCGTTGGCATCCATCAAACCGCACTGGGCCCGAATGGTGGGTCATGGCCTCTAGCATCTCCCTATTCCATCCATGGGGAAGACCTGTGCCCCAGCAGTGGGGACTGATGATGATGAACCCTGTAACTATGATTTTTGTTGCGTAGCGTAGCGTATGGAAGCGATTGTGTACATATAATATAATTTTCATTTATTTGTGTCGTACTGCTGTACCGAACTGTCTATGTTAAAATAACGATTTGATGTAAAATTTTGATGTGCTTGTGAAGATTTAATTCTTTTCATCTCATTTAGTGATGATTGTACGCAGTTTTGTGTATTATATAAAAGGAAACATACATTTATTTTTACCTTTTTTATGTTAAAAGGGTGGCAATCAAACGTATTGCCCGCCTGATGGTAAGCGCCACCAGAGTCTACAGACGCTTGCGAAATCAAAAATATTACTCTCACCGTTGTCTACCCTGACCCAATTCCCTATCCCGTGGAGCCCTGGAAACTTATTCACCGACAGAAACACACACCACCAATAGGTAGTATTATTTTATTAAAAGGTGGAGGATACTTACTCGGACGGTCGCTGCAATTCGAGTGGAAAATCCTCTAATCCCTACCTCTCTTTTACCTAACCAAAATTTTATGATTGTATTATTGTTTGTATGTTTCACCATAATTATTTTGCGAGTGTGGGAGGCTATATTTATAGACGTTTCATTTAACCCGAACTGAATTTTATGATTGTATTATTTTATGTTTTAATGTTTCACCATGCATGCAGCTACTAAACCAAATTTTATGAACGAGGCGAAAGTCGATTTGTAATTTATGGTGCGAGTGTGGTAGGATATATCTTAAAAAGTTCACAATAGCATGGCGATATTAAAAACAAACAGGAGTTCAATGGCCTGGTTGTAAGCATATGCGGACTGCGATTGGGCAAATTAAATAACTTACGCAATAACCGGTTAAGGGATATGTCACAAAATTGTATTACCACGACTAGATACCCTTCGTTTATACGTTAAGCCGTTGGTCTCTGCTGCACTGCAGTCTTACTACCCACTAATCCGCATTGGGCCCGTTTGGTGGGTTATGGCTCAATCTCCCTATACCATCCACGGGGAAGGCTTTGTCGCAGAAAAGGGGAAATTAGTAGGCTGATGATGTTGATGACATGCAGAAAAGTTAGTATTAATATTTTTACGGTTGTATTTATTAGTGAAATGTAAAGAAAAGGAGTACAAATTATATAATATAATGATATTAGCTATCACAGCAGTAAGCCAAATATTTTCCTAGTATGATAGTAGTTATTTAAATCTCTTGTTTATAGTAAATATTATTACAAAGTTCTAGCCCGCTCTGTATTCAATTGTACTTATTTAAAGATAAGCGTTTTGTTTTAATAGAATCACCTTTTTTTAATCCGTTCAGTATTTTGTGCTGTACATTGATAGATCAGCCAGTAACGATTGCCTTTTATATGTATAGATAGATCAGCATATGATTTATAGTACATTTTCTAATTAAAATAATTGCATAAGTCTCGTTTGCTATACAGTGCTGCTTGCGTGTGTACGTTAATAATTTCATTACTTTAGCACAAATACAAATAATTTCTAAATGTAAATTGTCAACGTAAATTGTAATGGCTATAATAAAACCACTTTGGCTGTGTTCTAAGAATTAAAATTAAAAAGAATTATAATTCTTTTCTTGAAACTGGTTTCGAAAGAAAACTGTTTCTGTTTTCGAAACGGGAAGCTAAAGTTTGAACAACTTTAGGTAAATGTACATAGTATAACCATTGCCTTTAATTACTAATTGGCCCATATTATAAATAGGTATCCTTTCTTTAACTTCCTATTGATTTATTTATTTATCTTTCTGGGTCGTATAAAGTCGTATTGTCCAATTTCATGGGCATTTTGACAATAACGTCCTTATACGGGTCTTCTTTTCCAAAAACAGACTTTTGCTTCCGGTTTCGAAAACAGACACATATATGTTATTGGGTATCCGATTTCGAAAAAGAAATATTTTTGTGTTTTCGAAACCGGTTTCAAAAAAAGAATTATAATTCTTTCCTAGAAACTGGTTTCGAAAACGGCCGAAGGAAATTAAATCATTATTTGTGTATAGAAAATATTTATCGTATGTGATATTTTTATAATATTGAAAAACTTTTTTAGTTTCGTGAAAATTAGAGTCCTACCCTTAATAATATTTAAGTATTACCGGAATTTTGTTTTTATGTTCAATATTTTAGCTAGCGAATCGGATATTATAATTTTGTTAAAATAAAACTGAAGCTCAGCCCTTAAGATTTGAGCTGGCGCTGCGTTTACCATTTCGCGAATTGCTTTTTATTAAGTAGCTAAATAATTATTTTCATCCTCTACCTCTCTGTTACTTTGATTAATACATTTTATAACATGTGTAGTAAATTACATTTACTGCTTCATTTCCTAGCGAATTTGTCTTTTTGATTATAAACACAGATATACATTATTTTGTGACACTGTCTAAAGCTAAAGTGGCTTCTGTAAGAGGAAAAACTATTGTAAAGTAAACATAAAACTGCGTAAACAACTTTTTATTTATTTATGTTAAGCGCGTTTTGTTTTGATATCAGTTCCTGATTTTAGGGTGTCTTTATATAAGATTGTTTAATTATATTTAAGAGTCCTTGTAAACAAAATAATATGCAAGACAATTAACTGCTACAATGTCATATTTAAAGAAAAGAACTATCTACTCGTCCCAAGTGAACTCGAAACTGCGCTTTTCGCTATACGGGCGAATGCAATTTCCGTACCTAAGACAAGTTGATTTTTTTGATTTTCCATATTCAAAGGACAACCGAATGGTCCCTTTACTGAGCCTTCGCCGTATTCGTAACAAACCACTTATCAAATAAACCCTGCATAAAATGTATGAAAAGCGAAATGAACATAAGATGTGTATATGGACCGTGCCTAATGGTGTTCTGTTTTCTCTGCATATCCCAACGGTACTTAGTGTGTATATTCATTACTTATTTCCATTATTACTAGACTGACGACTCGTCGTCGAAAAGTCGTCTAGGAAGTTCAATCATTTGCGCTAGTTTAACAATTCGGAATAAATCAGCCAAACAGTTTGTCCAATTAGTTCGATTTATCGGACTACTGATATGCAACGATCAAAGAAAGGGGGAAAAATATGTCCATCAGGGTATCGATAGTATGATTCTATCACAGACATTTAGATTTATTTTCAAGTTAAAATTTTCTTAAGGTGTAACTATATCAAGGGTTCATATTTGAGTCAGTTTATATATTTAGTCTATATTACCTTTATGATTTTATAGGCACACTGATAAATTATATTTACATGTTTACAGATAACGAAATGAGGTTCCAGTGCCACATGCGGCGCGGTAACCTGTATTTTCGAGAGGAGACAACTTATGAACTGGTTCAGTTCAACGGACATTTTAGTGAGTGTTAGTTTTGTTTATTTACTTACAATGGCATTGATTTTTTTTTAGCTAGACATCAGTGTAGGTATCAACACATAAACATACATAAACGAACCAATAAATTTCAAAACTAATATCTCGCTATGAGAACTTGGTGTGTTTCATTCTAGTAAAATTACTTGTAAGTTATCATATTGCTTGTGATTCAGTAACTGAATAGAAACTACTTAATCATCATTTGAGGAGCTCGATGGCGCAGGTGGTTAGCGCGTTCGGCTGCGATCGTTGTAGTTAAGCAACTTTCGCAGTGGTCGGTCATTGGATGGGTGACCAAAAATTTTTATCTCGAGTTCCTCCGTGCTTCGGAAGGCACGTTAAGCCGTTGGTCCCGGTTGCACCTGCAGTCGTTAGCACCCGCCAATCCGCACTGGGCCCGCGTGGATATATAAAAAAACAAAATTTAATAACACCATCACAAGTCAAACTCAGAGTTTGTTTACTGTGCGTAAAAATCACTATAGTTTATGTTACATAATACGTTACTGAAATCCATTGAAATATTAGGGTGCGGCGTTTTTTCACGCCCGTGCAACTGTGCTAGTTGTATAAGATGTCTTGCGTGCAATATTGCTCGCACCTCTGGGATGGCTCCGCCAAGTACTTGCTCGATGCTTTGGATAGGTAACAGCGGCGCGTGATCCGCATCATAGGCGATGAGGAGGTGACTAAATACCTCGAGCCTCTTCAATTACGCCGTGGCGTCACTATACGCGTTCTATCGTCTGTACCACGGCGAGTATTCTGAGGAGTTATTCTCTCTTATTTCACCTTCCCCTTTCCTTCTGAGGACCACGCGCGCTGGCTTACGTTGTCACCGTCTAACTGTGGCCACAATTCCAACGCGTGCAAAGAAATTAGGTTATTCATTTCTTTGTCGCACTAACCTTAAATGGAATGCTCTGCCTGTGCTCACTCCTTACAACCTGGGATCCTTTAAAAGTGGCGTGAAGAAGCAGCATGCAGACCGGCTAGTCTTAGTAGTAGCACGGCGGGCTGTTTCCGCAACTCGACACCTAGTATTTTGCGTGGGGATTGGCATCAGTCCATGCATACCGGCTAGATAAAGACGGCTGGTGTGGCAGGTAGAACTTCTGTACCAGCTATCTTCATGTCTGAACTTCACTGTTACTTAACATCAGTTTGGGGTGGAGTCATCCTATCTGTAAAAAAAAAACGAGTGTGCTTATGACCACACGACTGAAGTTAAACTTCTTTAGCTTCATATATATATATACACAGAAAGAGAGAAAGATAATGTGCGCGCGCACTGCTTTCTCTTGCTTATGCAAAAAAAAAATCCCAACTTAAACATTAGACATGTTTAACAATATTACCGTTCCTCAACCTGATGCTAGATTACATAAAAGATAATGCGGGTCCCGCTTTGTTTTCTCATATTATTTATGAGAAGTATATAATTGTAGCCTTTATACAACAAATGTCTGTCATTTACTTTGCAGGGATTAACATGGAGCATGGGGACAGCGAAGAGATGAGCGGCTATCAGCAGGAACATGATTCGAGGTATTATTCGCAAATTGTTGTCATTAACAAAGGAGATTGTTCAAATTGGCCCAAATGCACAATAAATATTGACATACACGGTAATTCTTGGCGTAATTTATAATTTAATTTACAGTCATTAGATTTCAACGGACACCTTTGTATAATATATTTACTTTAAAAAGGACTTTTAATTTTACCGGTTTGGAAAACATATGAATCATTTTTAATGGCTATGGATGTAGTCACATTTAGCCAAAGACAGATCGAAGTTGTTTATATAACATGAAAAACAAATCTATTTTGTAAAGATCGATAAAATAAATCATTTTTTCTATTACACTGTGGTATTAATATCCACAACTATATTATCATTTTCACTAGATGCAAATGTGCTCAGACAATTATTATAGATGGTAGGCGACATCATAAAGTCTATTGCCATACATTTTTCGCCAAACACCTCCATAACCACATAATAATCTGTATATATATTAGACTTTAAGGTATCTATCTATGGGCCTACGTTCCCTGACTATAAATAATTAAAAAAATAAAATTATAAGGTGTGATACACTAAAAATCTAAAATATGGTTATCTTAAAAACATAACAAAAATAATGAAGCTACTGAATATATGGCTGTAGAAACCTAAATCTCTTAGCTTTCTTTGGTTAACGAGAGTTTAAAAATTCTCTCTTATCTGTGGCTCATTCACAATCATCACACAGTTTCTGTCACAGAGTACCTTATTATAACCGGAAATGACACCTGATTTTAAAAGTTACTCTTATGCATTAACTTTAAAAACAGGCAACTATCTGTTAATCTACATGCTCTATATACCTGAATCTAATCCATAATTTCGGTACTTGGCTTGATTTCCCTAGTTTACTATATAACTTATTTGTTTCTTATTATTTTAATATGTTCAGTGTATATGGTTTATAGAAGTTCTCAGGGGTGTCCGTCAATAATATTCGTTTCTACAGTAATTTATATATAATTTCGAATCTAGGAAACAATTTTTCATGATTATTGGTCTTTAGGCCAAACATGTATGGAAGCTGAGCAATCTCCTTTCTAACATTTGGTTGATCTCTGTCTCAAAGTCAGTCAAATATTCTTTATTCACATTGGAAGCATAATACAACTCTTTTGAATCGCCCATATTTTTTTCGTTATCAAACCAGTTAAGGACATTTTTAGCTGCGGAGAAAAACTGTACAGTTAACTCTCTTCAACAATTTCTCAATATGTGGGCCCCACTGAACTTTCGAATATAGTGTAATGCCTTAGAAAACTATAGTATAATCGAGGTCTATATGCTTATCTTTGCTAGTTATACTGGTTTGTGTCTGCTTTACATGTAATATTTTTTTTAAACATTTGGTTTCACATTCATTAAGAAGCAAATTACTAGCATCAAACCAGTGAACTACTTTAGAGATGGCATTGTTCACATCGTTAATAAGTGGTTGCTTTTGTTTAACTTTAAATAAAAGTGATGTCTAAGTTTTACTATCGTTTTCAGTTTACTGTTCGTGTGTACTGGACGTTTGAACACACCTCAATTGATTCGTGACGTATCTTTGCTGGACTCTAATAGAAGCGAATTCACGTCACGGCATAGTCTGCAGTGGAAATTCCTCTATTTGGACCACCGCGCTACATCAATTATTGGATATTTGCCTTTCGAGGTCCTCGGTACATCGGGTTACGACTACTACCATTTTGATGATCTTGAAAAAGTTGTGACATGCCATGAAACCTGTAAGTTAAGTTTTTAGACCCACTTGTGCCCAAAGTTTTTAAGTAAAATTCAAGTGCTCATTATGTTTAGGCATCATTCCATCTCTTGTTGACTTCAAACATTTGATAAAGACGGAATGATGTACTAAAAATAGTAGATTATTAACCAAGGGGATAAAGCAGTGTCTTCTGTCGCGGGTGACGATTTAAATTGCGAGCGTAACGAAGCACTCGAGGTTTACTCCCGAGAGTAGCGAGGGTGTTAAAAACATAAATCAAGAGCGAAGCGAGGGATTTGTACGAAAAGATTATTTATTTGGAATGTTGGTGCAAGTGGCCCTGAAAGTACCTATTAAGTAATTTTTGCCACTGTTCCAGTATTATTATTATTTGTTTTACGTTTTACAGTAATGCAAAAAGGTGAACTCACATCATGCTACTATCGGTTTCTGACGAAAGCTCAACAATGGATCTGGCTACAAACTAGATTCTACATCACTTACCACCAGTGGAATTCTAAGCCTGAGTTCGTCGTTTGTACGCATCGAGTTGTCAGGTATACCTTTTATATGGTTGATCTTTTGTCTCCTCTAAACGGATTCTGATGAAATTTTCTCCATCACTTAATTTTTTTTTATGGACGTTTAATATTTATAGTACTAGTATCGTTACTCTAGTCAGTGATAGAAAAACTTATTTCGGCATTAACAATTGGTTTTCGTTTATAATGTTATGTTATACCAAACGTTATAGAAAGCACTTTAGCCATAGCAATTATTAATCTCAAAGCACACTTTTAGTTACAGCGACATCGCGAAGAGTGTGACGCAAGAGAACGCGAACGGAGAAACAGTGACTGAAACTGAAGTAAGCAAAAACGATCATCCAGAGGCTAACACCGACGAAGCATTGGTGACATTATCGCCGTCATACATGTCTGAGGCCAGTGATGCCTTTGCCAACTCTTACCAGGCTTTATCGTCAAGGGTGAGTACCCACAACTAACTTCACATCCTTTCCCACCTTGATTTAATTTACCTTTTTATATTTTATGCATACGATTGAATAAAGCCGTTTTTCGTGTCTGTCTGTAAATTCTCTAATTTTCGCCATCAGATGGATTACTTTTACGGAAGGTTTATAATATGTATATTTAATATAATAAGCCCGAGAGCAAAAACAATAGTCTTTAACAATCAAGGCGAAGACGGATTATTATTATAACATAATTCTATTTTTGGCAAAATACGTCAAACAGATAAATAGCACACATTTCTATTGCATCGAGGTCACAACCTCCTGTGAGTGCTTGTGCTTATGTAGTGCTTGAAGCTTTCCTGTCTTCTATAAATAGCAACAGTAAATTAGCAGTTAGCGGATGCTGAGGTTTTTCGTAAATTTCAAAATCCTTTCGCCCTCGCAGCCGGCGTCAGTAAAGTCCGCATCGGCGAGCAGCACTACGGGCACAGTGGCGACGATATCCACAGCGGCGACGGCGGGAGCTTCGTGGGCGCGCTCGTCCTCGCACGCGCTCTACACCAACGCCGGCTCCGACACTGCTTCGCTGTCGGGCGAGTCGCGCTCGTCTCAGCGTAACAACAGCGCGCGCGAGGTTAGTGCCATCAGTGACGTCAGCATCGGCGAGCAGCACCACGGGCATAGCGGCGACGGCGGGCGCTTCGTGCGCGCGATCGTCCTCGCACGCGCTCTACACCAAAACGCCGGCTCCGACACTGCTTCGCTGTGGGGCGAGTCGCGCTGATCTCAGCGTAACAACAGCGCGCGCTAGGTTAGTGACATCAGTGACGTCAGCATCGGCGAGCAGCACCATGGGCACAGCGGCGACGGCGGGCGCTTCGTGCGCGCGATCGTCCTCGCACGCGCTCTACAGCAACGCCGGCTCCGACACTGCTTCGCTGTCGGGCGAGTCGCGCTCGTCTCAGCGTAACAACAGCGCGCGCGAGGTTAGTGACATCAGTGACGTCAGCATCGGCGAGCAGCACCACGAGCACAGTGGCGACGAATTCGACAGAGGCGACGATATCGACAGCGGCGACGGTGGCCTCTTTGTCGGCTCGCTCGTCAGAGACCTAGTAGATAACTGGTGCGATGTCTGCCGAAAGCAAGTTCCAGGGGTAGGTTGAGATCTCTGCACTCGAAATTAGGACAAGTACTCAGCTTGGGTAAGTCCAATTTCGAAAGAGGTAAACCGCCGCACTGTGGAATATTTTGGTGTGTTTCGGATTAAAAATCTGTAACTCCGTCAATTTGAAAGATAGACTTATAAAAAATTGCTATAATATAAAGTGATACATAAGGATTCATATAAGTAATGTTTGATGAATTGGAATTATGCGTATTTATTTTTAATTAAAAAACAAAAGTCACAAAATGATTTAAAATAGTATTATTAGTATTCTTTATTTATTGAAATATTTTTAGTAACATATTGTACGTCTATTTCTTAATGCTAATTACTCTATTAAGATAACTATCATATTATATTGATAATATAAAATTAAAAATGGTAAAATATTTTTAACACTACGCTAACATACAGAAACAAATCAAAATTATCGCAATATATATTTCTTTTTTTTTGCTCAGCAAGATTGACATCCTACACCCGGTGAGCTTAAGGATCTGAAATAAGTCCATTAACCTGGAGAAGGTGTAAAGTATCTTCATCGAGCTCCTTCATTTTTTGCATATGGTTTTCTTATGCTCGTTATATATGGATCTGAAGTGTAAAGTAGTGTATTAAACACATCTTCGTTTGTAGCTATTCGAGAGCATTTCCGAGCATGGTGTAAGCGAAATTTTTTATAGTCCTTATTGCGAGATTCTTGAGCATCTTCTGAAAGTTGCCCAATTGGTAATACCGCGAAATGGTTTATGATACTCTCTCCGTGAATTAAAATTTTGTGGACAGATGATGGCATGTAATACCAACTATATTTACTCACGTATATTCTTGCAGTTTCCAGAGCATAATTACCAAATTTCTTACTATCTACCACTATACCAGATGACAAAGCCTGCAAAATTATATATAACCGTTTAATTAAATCAATGTCAATCCCTGTGATATCAGCAGAACAGGCAGCATTGTAAAAAAATCTCCTAGCAGTATTGCCATCATTACTATTTCCCGTCCCCTGTCGTGGTTTATCGATATTTAGACCCAACTCTTCACGAAATCGCTTTTGTACTTCAGCCTTTTTTTTCTTGTTTGAGTCTTCTTTTTTCTTCGCTTGTAGCAGACCACGTTTGGAAAGATAGATTATATGATATGTGTAATATCATTTCCATGCAACGAATCCAGGCATGTAATGTGGATAATCCGTATTGATAAGCATTTTCATTTTCAGGCCTAGCTATTACTTTCGTTAAATCATTCATTTGTCTAGGAGTTGCTCCGCATATTGTACATGTGGAACTAGAAGGCGTATCTGTTAAAACTTGTGCCACTTTTCCGTCTATCATCGTCAAAAAAAGTTCATGCTTGACTTGGACTCCCAAGCCTTCTATATTAATTATTGATGGAAGCAAAGTTTTCTATTTGATTTTTTATTTCATCTAAAATCGATTTAGTTTTTTCTGGCGTTTCTTTGCAAAATTCTATAGATATAGGCCGACAGAAACGAACAGATGAAGGCTCTGGATTTTGTCATGTGATGGCGCCTGATTCCACGTCAGTTAATCTGATAGGCACAAAAGAAGTAATAAATAAATTTGCATCGGAAATAAGTTCAGACTACATAAACCTACATAACAATATCAAATAATTAATTCATAAAATGTACCACAAACTATTGATAATAAAAGTAAACTACGAAACCGCATTTGATAGCGATTTCCGTTCCCAGACTAGTATTCGATTCTTTCACATATCTCCGAAAACCGCAAAAAGCCGCAGCTAATTTTTTTATATGTTTTAGATGAGTAACTAACCTATAATTTAACATTAAATTCAAAGCATCGGTAAACAACTCTAAATGTTAAAAGATTCGACGAAGTTGAGGAAAAATAAATATTTCTCCATTTTTTCTTTAAATTGGTTTTTAAATTTATATTCGTATTAAAAACAATCAATTGTATTTATTTCTAACCTCTATAAATGTGCTTTTCAAAAATATATAATACCTTATACCTTTCATTTCAAGTTTTAAAACTATTTCACGTTGAAAAACGTAAATGAAGAACTTAATATTTCCCAGCTGCCTAAACGTTTAACTTTGCTACATGAAAAAAAATACTTTTACGAAATAAAATATGAATTACGCTGCAGAATATTAAACTTCGACTTTTGAACTATTAAATTATATTCATATATTACCCAATTTCAATCAGTAATAAAAATCAATTTTGATATGCGTTTGTTCTACCATATTCCACCGTGCGCCGAATCCAACTCGGCTGAGCAACGTTCAGGAAACTTCGTGTCTTCTCGTCCGAAATACGTCAGTGCCTGAACACCAAGGTCTTCGAACAGTGCGTGTTGCCGGTGATGACATACGGAGCTGAGACGTGGTCGTTGACAATGAGCCTCATTAGAAGGCTCGGAGTCGCACAGCGAGCGATGGCTCTCTAGCTATGCTCGGTGTTACTCTACGTGATTGAATCAGAAATGAGGAAATCCGTAGAAGCACTCGAGTAACCGACATAGCTAAACGGATCGCCATGCTGAAGTGGTAATAAGGTTGGGGTCCTAAGGTGCCTCAATGGCGACTTCGCACCGAGAAACGCAGTGTCGATAGACCCCTTATAGGTATACTGACGACATGAAACGAGTCGGAGGGACCCACTGGATGCGGAAAGCTCATGATCGTTATGTTTGGAGATCCCTAGAGAAAGCCTATGTCCAGTAGTGTACGTCCGTCGTCTGATTATGATGATGATGATGATGACGGTGTAGGAATTTGGGTGCGAGTGATAACTATGGTATCGCAAGCGTCTATCGGCTATGGTGGCCGCTTACCTTCAGCTAGGCCTAAATGCTGTTTGCCACATAACTAACTTTTGCCTCTAGTGAAAACAAACTGTTTTAAAAGAAATAGCTTATTTATAGAAAAGTGTTCTAGTAATTGGTTGTAAATTAATTTCTCAAATACTTTACTTAGCGCTGCTAATATAGATATAGGCCTAAAATTGCTGGGAACAGATTTGTCACCAGCCTTAAACAGAGGGATAACTTTAGCACATTTCATTAGATCTGGAAACACTCCCTCATCAATACATTTGGTAAATATAATGGCCAGTTGAGACGTAATGACAGTGATAATCGGTTTTATTATATATGTTGATATTCCCCAATAATCCTCTGTCTTTTTAATATTAATAATTGAATTTAAAGTTTTTATACATGGACTTATAAAAAAAGGCGGACAGAGTCCCGGTAAAGAATAAACTGTGTCGCTCAGAGTCGGCCAGGTCGCTGTACGTACAAGCCGGCACGCACACATTCACACAATAGTCAGCCACTATGCGTGCAAACGTCAAAGCAGCCGACACGTTACGTGGAGATAAAAAATAAGCTAAACAAGATATCTTGCTTGTAAAAAGGTGTAAAAACCGTAGTGACCGAAAGAAAAAAAATCCAGGAATCACGTTTCATAGGTAAATGAATAATTGAATCACTTTTTTCTAGTTTTTAGAAATCGAAATCAATTTTAATTCTAAGGACAAAATGATTAGTCTAAAGCCCAGTGTTGCCAATGTTCATGTAACCATATTACCTAAAATATGGGAAAAGTGGGTTGACATTAACTTCAATCTATTATTTATTATTCTTTTTTATCAGATTTCCTAAAGAAAATGTAGTATGGAGAAATTACTGGAAAATGAATGATTTCCAAACAAATATGTAGTAGTGTCATTTTTAGTCTTCATTTTGAAGCTCAAGACTTATATACAACTAAAGGAGGACTCCGGCGTGTTATTACGTATGCATTACCTCAAAAGGTTGATTAAAATTTTTAACCGACTTCGAAAAGAAAGAGGTTCGCAATGCGTCATATTTGTTTTTTTTTTATTGTTGTTCGCGCAGATCTCCGAGATTCGTGGACCGTTTATGATGATTCTTTTTTTTTGTTTTAATCAGTTTACTAGCGAGATGGCTACATATTAATTTACTGGAGATCTGATGAGAACTTTCGGAGGAAAACAATGGAACTCCTCAATTACAAACAGTACTTAATGGGTGTTAGTTTATTTTAAGAAATATGAAAGAGAATGCAGGCCAGGCCATGTATATTTAGTTGATTTACCCAAATTGAGAAAATTCGATACATTCTAGAATTTCTAATGAGTCCCGACTGTTAAAGTAACTTTGTTCCTTATTAAACAGAATTCTAGACCACTGGACTTGTTTTTTTCTTTTTAGTTAATTTTTGACATTTTAATTTCATTATTTTTTAATTACACGAGTTGTATATTTTCTAAATATTCTTTTAAAACCCTTCACTTTGATACCTCGCTTGACGGGTTATAAAAATACTTATACTTTTTTTTTAAAATGTTTCATTTTGGCGCATAAAATCTGTTATTTAGATTTTTTGAAATTTTAATATACCGAGTGCCACTCACACAATCACGACAAATCAAATGACACCTCGCATGTCAAAATCCGTCAAGACGTTCAGGCTGTAGGGCGTGCCAAATTATTGGACATACATACATACATGCATACATACGCTCGAAAAACATTATCCTCCGCAGTCGGGCAAAAAGTAAAATTTTTAACAATCAAAATATTTTCATGTTTTTACTGTGTTTTATTGGTAAAAAATTGGCTAACCTAGCAACCCTACAATTCACTCACTCATCAATAGCCGCCGCCATTACGGTGCCTCAGTATTGTCTTAGCCGAAACTCTGTCCGCCTTTTTTTATACGTCCATGTTTTTATAATACAATCACTACTGATATGTCTAAAATGAAAATCATTACTGCACTTATCAACACTTCATTCAAGGAGGGAGGGTCATTGCTAACCTAGAACAAGAATTAAGTTTTCTAGTTGTTTCAAATGGTACACCAGAAAGAAATTTTCAAACGTTTTTGCAACGGCATTATATGTCCGAATAATCTTGTTGTCTATTTTTAAAGAATATGTGTGTGCATTCTTTATTTCATTATCTGAAAGACTAATTTATTAGATAAAAATTTAGTTTTTTTTATGGCACGCAATCTTTTAAAAGTTTTTGAATAGTTTTTGACATATTCTATAAACTTAGGATCAGATGAGCCTTGAGAGCATATAATTGATACAACTTATTTCCACTCTTGTAAATAGCAGGTGTGGCCCAATCACTTAATTAATTTTTAGAGTTATGGCATTTAATTAGTTTGCGTTTGAATATATTATTAAATTCGTCTTTAATTAAATTGAATAAATCTTCATACAAAATAATATAATTATTACAAACCGGTAAGTACAATATTTTGTGATAAACACTATCTTTAAATTTATGTATACCCGTTTGTGTAATTGGTCATGTTTGGGTGAAGCATGATGGTGTTCAAGAGAGGCTAATGGTCCGCTATGATCAGAATTAATACAATTTATTATTGGTTTATTAAAAACATTTCTATTAAAAAAATGCTATCTAAACAGGTCTCTGATACATGTGTGATGCGGGTAGGCTCAAAGAAGGTATGCTCCAAGTTATATGATTTAGATAAGTTATTTGTGCGCGTATTGTATATTTGCGTTAGTAAGCTGTACGTGTTTACCTCGTCCCTCGTTAAAAATGACATAAAATTTTGTTCGCCAAATGAACGGTATGGCAGGTTCCACGCGGCTGTATTAGTTTAGTTTACTTTTAGTTTTTTTACACTCACACCAATTAGTCTAACCCCAAAGCTTACTTTGGCTTGACTGCAAGGCTTGTGTTATGGGATACTAGGGTAACGGATAGAATACATATACGTACATATATAAGCATATTTATATAGAAATACATATTAAACATCCATGACTGGAGCACAAATGTTCGTATTCATCAAACAAACATCTGCCCCCACCGGGATTCGAACCCGGGACACCTCTCGAGTCGGCGACACCATGAAACCCGGCGTACAAAGCACTCGGCTACGGAGGTCGTCAAAAATTTTTGTTTCGTGACAGGAAAATGATAGTAGTTCAAAAATCTGTTCTTGTTTTTCCACGCAAGACGCAGACGTCGAAGGTAGTCGAGCCGGTGCTAGTCCCCCAGCATGGCATGGGCGCTCAGTACCTAGACCCATCCCAGTATTTGGACTCGACGCCATACGCTCACGCGGTGAGCGTACCGGGGGTCCTGCCGCTGCCTCTGCCGTTGCCCGTGCTGGTATCGCCGGACCAGGCACAACTGCAGGTGAACTGATCGCTTTATATGTAAACAGGATGTTTCTTCTAGGGTGTAAAGCCAGTGCGAGCTGACAGCGGAGTACCATACCTATCTATTTAACCCCCATGTATGTTCTACGATTTTGCGTAGTTTTCGAGTTAGTTTTTTTTTTTCGTTATTTGTTAAGTTCAATGATGACAACTTTAAAAAAGTAGAACTTCTTTTGGGTAGATTTTTCTTCAATTTTTTTAACAGAATGCCTATTGCATGTAGTTTTATAATTAAAATAATCTCCTTCCTAACTTTAACCTAAGATATAAATAATTTGATTGATACTAAATAAAAATGAATTAAGTAAAATAGAATGGATTTTCAATTGAAATAAAAAAGGAAAAAAGATGTTCTATAACTTTTGACTTGTTGAAGGTGTTGTATCGAAAATTGAGTTATTTTAATATTTTATAATTTCGTAGTTTCTTTGCATATTTTGTCAATCTTAAGTTTTATTATCCCTTTTAGTTTAAGTGGAGCTCATTCAAAAATAAAAATCATCATTTTATGATGACTAATCACTCGAAACTCCTGTTATCCTCCTCCTCAGGTATTTTTAATTTACGCTTAAATAAAGTGTCTACGCGAATGTTGAGGACTCTCGATTGAGCTTGATATTAAGGTTTACTTATAAAACTGCAAGCAATAGGCATTCTGTTAAAAAAAACGATGAAAAATCGACCCAAATGAAGTTATACTTTTTTAAAGTTGTCTTATCATTGAATTTAAAAAATAACGATAATAAACTTACCTCGAAACTACGCAAAATCGTAGAACATACATGGGGGTTCAATAGATAGGTATGGTACTCCGCTATCAGCTCGCACTGGCTTGACACCCTAGAAGAAACACAGGTATACACTATATATGATAATATACCTTAATACTGGGGCTGAGGGTCTATAATAGCGAGATTGCTTTAACAACATTGTTCATAATATGTCAAGCTACGTAACACAGCAACGCGGACGCTACACGGAAGATTAAGAGTTTAGATATATTTATTTGGATCTCAAACTTTTAAGTATTATATTAATACATGCAGGCCCATTTGCACCAAAGTTCCTAAATCAAATTTATTAGCTAATCATGTTTAAGACAGGGCGCACATGTACGTTTTCCTAATTCGGAAACCTGAATGCACACCCTTTCATACAAAATGTTCAATGAGGAGCACACTATTATTATTTTTTCTAGAAAAAAAACCTAACGTTCAGATCGGACTCCAAGGTGCGTCGCTCACTGGGTAAGTCGAAGCGCGGTCGTGGCGCCCTTCGCGGCGTCACGGCACGGCCGATGATTCTCTATGTAGAGTCGAAGCGTAGGAGGCTATTCTTCCTTTACAGGTTCTAATTCATTCACAATGTCGTGGTTGGAAGACGAAGCGTAGGAGGAGATTCTTCCTTTACAGGTTCTAATTCATTCACAATGTCATCGTTGGAAGACGAAGACACTCATACAAGTTCTTAATTTAAATCGTTACGAAAACCGTACACGTGTACCCAGTCTTAGCCTCATTCTTTAAGTGATTTTAAACAAATATATACAGAATACATCTCAAAGATATACATCTAAATTAGCATTCAAATCGTTCTGGCCATTTTTCGGGATGGGAGGGGAGATATGCTCACAAGTGGTATTCTGTATAATACACCGCGAAATCTTGCAAATTTATTACTTTATATATTTGTACCTATATGACATGGGTACTCTTGGCCATATAGTATAAAAGCGGGAAAGTCTGCGTATCAAATAAAACTTGACAGTTTTGTATAAGAATGCGTAAAAAAAACACCACTTACATGAAATGTTAAAATAAAAAAAAAATTGCCTTAAATGCTCATCGACAATTTATGATCAATATGTTTGATTCAAAATAAACGTGCTATCTCGCTATTTAAGACCCCCCGATTTAAACAATTGACTAGGATGCAGTTGAATGCCATGCATTTGAAAGCCAGCAGTCCCTCTTTCTCATAATTTATATAAATAGAGCATCTTAAGGAGAAACTACTGTCACCTTTTGTGCTAAGTTTAGATACCACGCTAGCATTACACTAACTATATCGTTGATAACGCAACCGGGATTCTGATTTCACTGGAGAACTTTCATTTTAAGAAATATGAAAATTAACAGTACATCTTTCTATAAACAAGATTTTTTTGATCCCATCCAGCCAGTTGTTATTTTTATCGCATGTTTTATCAATGACCGAATAAATGTTTTGGCTCTTTTCTTATATTTTTTTTAATATCGCAATCGAGGTTAGTTCAATGTTTATAATCACGATTCAACCATAATAAATTACAAAAACATACAGTCAAAAGGTATCGCAATTATTAAAAAAAAATGTTTTTTTGAACTTGAACTTTTCAAAGATGTTGTACTGCTACATAAATTGATGTCAAGAATAAAACCTAGGGTGAACAAAATTTTATGTACTTTAACAAAGGGTCAATGATTTTAAACTTTTTCGAAATAAAGGTTTCGCTTCGCTTCTTAGTGTACATACAATTTTGCACTACCACACTAAGAAATTTATTTTAGTTAACTTAGGATAGTGAAAAAACTTATGAACAGAGTGGTGTTTTCATAAAATTGAGAAAGATGTACTGTTTAAGATTTAAATTGAGCTGGACCTGTACCATGATCTTTTAAAGTCAATGTATCAAAGATACAAACAGCTATAAAAGGAATTCAGCTTTATTACAGATTTATGGTACGGATAGTTAATTCACATCTGATGTCAATACTATTAGAATATTATGAGTATTGAAAACTAATATGGTAATTCATTTTCGAAGAACAATATACTATGCATTTATTGATGTTTGGAAAAAAAACATCTTTTTTGCTATTGTCTATGAAATAAGAAAAAAGTATATACTTTTTCTACTTCAATAGTTATCTAACGATGGGTTTTTGTTTGTTAAATAAAGTACCGTTCCAGTGGTTATGGGAGATGCATGCCTCATTATCAATATTTAGAATTACACATTATAAGATTTTCGACACAAATGTAAGTTACTGTGAAAATATTATGTTCTCATACACTGTTAATAAACATTTATAAGATGTTGAATTTTGAGATATTATATTTCGCTTATGTTTTTTTGGCCTGTGCAAATGAAACATTCTTATTGGGTTTGGGAAGCTAAATTAAATTCAGCCTGCCTTTGGCGGCGATCACTTGACTATTATATCGCAAATGGTGACGGAAACGATATAATTATTATGTGTTTCCTCGAACGTTTTCACTAATATAAAACACCCATTAGAAGGACTCAATAATACGGGATCTGTGCTTCAAAGATTTCATTAATTTGAATAATTATTGCGAAATTTCGCATGTGTTATAACATTCGTTCAATTGAGTACACACACCCGTTAATGAATGCTCCAAAGCCATCTAGTGGGTAAAATATTTTTAAGCGCCAATCATGGAAGTTTTTTTTTATTATATGCATATAGATGAGCGTCGTTCATGCTCTGAGATTCAGTCCTTGATTATATACACGCCTAGATACCGTATTGACTTCACGGAAGCGCCGAAAAAAATATTTACTAGATATGGTAAAACACTGGTCGCTACACGCGCACACACTGACTGCTTTAAGAATATCTGTACGTTAGTGCCACACACACATTAGGCGTAACATGAGCTGTTTTCTTTGTGTGGTTTATTTGGATTGCTCTATTTAGGCGTATATATAATCAAAGGATCCAGTATAGACATCCATCTGATAGCGATAGGAGCGGCGTTCAAAAATAATTATTCTTATATGATGATTTATTTAAGCCACAGCTGTGTGAAAATTAGAAAAAGAATATCTTTCAATCATTTCGTTAATCCGATACTCCGTCTCAAAGAGCTAATGCCAATGTGGTAGTACCTATTTATAAGCAAATGCCATTATAATAATATAAAACAAAATCGGACAGGAAAATATTACTAAGCGTAGCTTTACTCATACTATTGAAGGCGATGAAATGGTTAAATAATCCTACAGGGTTGCGCACCTTCAAATGAATGAATAATTACATTTTCAAAAACCTTTAATGACTTGACTGGTTTTTACGATTATTTATTTGTGTGTAATTTATTATAATAGTTATCTATGAATGAGGTACGGAACCCTTCACACGCAGGTTGACAATTTGATTTTATTAAATGGAATCCCTCAGCTTAAGTTTTAATTGTAAATATTTAACATTTTACAGCAGTTTCTCCTTTTCATTCCCCATAGAGCATGAAAAGGATATATTGCAATCAAGTTTACAAAATAATAGCAGAAACGAATGACCATGTTAAGTGCTAGCATTATAATATACACAACTAGACATACAAACAGTAGTCAAGTTACATTCACATATGAATGTTCGCAATTTCATCAAAATATTCGATAAACCTGGACTGGGGGATTCTTAAAATCACTTGTTTTAGTAAGTTTTATTTATGAATTATTTAAATTTGTTAGGTGGCAACGCAACCAAACAATACAAACAACAATTCAAAAATCAATATAAACCAAGTAAGTATTTTAACTAATACAAATTAATGTTTATTGAAGAATACATAACTATTATAAATATTAAGTAAATCTGTGTATGAACATTTTTGATTAGCTACTCTATAAGGATATACAAAATGGATCTTAATTTTATTTACTATTTTGTATTCAATTAGTCCTGCACTTACACTGTATTCCATTGAATATGACATTTACAGTGTAATGTTGTATAGAATATGGATGCAGTTATGAAATAAGTATTCATAAAAAAAATCTTGTAATAGTATCACAAATTTTATGTTATATATCCCTTATATAGAGAAATTAATCAAAGATTTGCATACTTATGGTTTCTGTATTTAATGATTATATCTGTATTATTCTAGTTCTTTTCAAAATCAATGTCAGTGTTTTTATTTTGGTTATGCGCACTAATTAGTTCGAAGTGTTATACACGCAAACAAATTAATTTACCGTAATAGTTAATTATATATATATATATATATATATATATATATATATATATATATATATATATATATATATGATCATGTCACATCAAATCGTGAGCGTCTGAACTTTAGGTGTTTTTCGTTACGCTTACACTTTATAAAGCAGACAATTTTCGACATAATAAATACGCAAATTAGGAACCTATTATATTTACACATGTTTTGCGAGTTAGCAAGTCGGTAAACGGCAAACTCTTTATAATTAGTCAATATGGTTTTGAAGTCTTGTGTAGAACTACATTCTAATGTGATAAGAATAGAAATATGCAATGATCAATCATTCATGTAAGCTGAGTTACATTATTTATATTGACTTTTAATGCGATGTGGCTTGCGTTTTATCGATATTTCAGAAATTAGGTTTTATCTTTGGCGCTGTACACGCGCTTTTAAAAACATAGTAGCTCGGTTATTTACCAGCTAGGGCTCGTTTCAGAAGCGTTGTTGCAGTTCCTCGTAATAAACACATAGATATCGTTATCAGGCTTGTGAAGGTTGAAACTGTACTGATGGTTGTCAGAGATGATTGTAATTTTCACTGTCTTTAAATTTTGTTGAGTTAGTTTCGCCTTTATATTTTTGTGTAATATTGATTTTAGCGTCGATAATAATTAATTTAAAATAAAACCGTAATTCGTATATTCCTGCTCAATTTTTTTAAATTATTAGCAAAGCGTACAATTTTGCTATATATATATAAAAATGATAAGATCACACAAATTTCTCGACATGACAGACCGACGTATAGTATGCACTAAAGTAAGTAAGAGAAACAAAATTTTTAATTTCAGACGTGCTCTTTAACCCTTTAAAGAGATTTAAATTGATTTTAAATATGATAAGTTCATGCATTCAGATTGACGTCTGCCATCAACACGACAACACATCATATTTCATAGCTTAGGCTTACGGTACTACATATTTACATTATCAAATATCTTTACGCTTTAGGAGCAAAATTCTGATATAATTTTGGTATTTAATGAGTAGATGGAGAGCATGCTTCTTAAAAAAATACTATCAAAGACGTTTTTACATCCTATGCCTAGTAAAATGAGTAAGTAACGCTTAACAGTATATTGTCAAAATAAAAAAGTTTCTGTACTGTAACAATATATTTTGACTTTCTACTGTATGCCGGTGACAGTTGCAAATATGTATATATGTCAGCTTGATTCCCTCGACTCTGTGTAATAAGATCTGTCTAGTTTTACCTCAACGCTCGCAGTTACTGCCACCACTAGAGTAAGGAATGATTTGCCATTTTAATAAGGACGTTAATTCTTGAAGTTAGAAATCATTTTACCATAATTCGTGAGCAGGAAAAGAGGTAACGGTGTCGTCCGACTGTGTATCTTGTTATTGTAAAATAGATTTTAACTACATGAATTAAATATCTTGTTAGGGATTATTTTCTAATTTAATTTTTTTTGTATAAGGTCGTTGTCAGTGATGATGTCCACTATAAATGATCAGTTTATATATTTATGTATACATATGCCCTCGGTTTGCATGCGTCGTTATGTTGTTAGTGTCTTTACTGCTTGTACCTATCCGGCTTTCTTTTCGTTCGCTTTGGTTGTTATTATTTGATGCGAGTAAGCGGCTGTGGCAGGAGCAGCTCCAACGAAAACACGAAGAACTGCAGCAAATGATCGTGCGGCAGCAGGAGGAGCTTCGCCAGGTCAAAGAGCAACTGCTGTTGGCCAGGCTTGGCATTTTGCAGCCACTAATTAATGTAAGCGAATTTTAATTCCTTCGATTATATACTCATGAAAAGAATGTAAGCAACATAAACTTTTGATCTTGATTAATATTTGTAATACATGTTTTTGTAAATAATAACCAATTTAATTTACTAGCAAGTAAAGCAACAACATTTTTGTATAAATTGTTTATTTCATAACGATAATATAAAATATCGACTGATAAAACCTGCAGTTTGCGAAAATGTTGCTTAGTCTTTTTGATACGTGTATTCTTCACTTTGGGGCCGCGCCCTGCCTTTAGGAAGTATAGTGCTATTTCAACTAAAAGGCCGCTGTGAAGTTAGTGCAAATGGCGGAGCAGTAAATTAAATATAGATGCGCACAGGTCTCAGTCTGTAACTGAAACCTGCGCAACGTTGCGCTCGTTGCTAACTTCACAATCTCCGTAAAGTATGAAATGATTTAATAAATTCATGAATATATTCTTGTAAAATTTGCCTTCCATTTATTTTTGTCTTTTTAATTTGTGCAGTACAAATATCATACTTAAAAAAACGAGCCGTACATTAGTCGCGTATGATGTCTAACATTTGAAACCTCACCTTATATTAGTAAAAAAAGAAATAAAACCTACTACAGAAGGAATAAGCCATTTGAAAATTATATTCTAAAATTAAATAAAATAGCGCGCGCTTTCGCGACTTCCTGTTACACACTTCCGTCCCATTTCACAAAATCACTCCCACAAATTGCAGGAAATCGAGAGGAAAGATGTAACACATCAAAAAACAGTATGATACGACTATCGCCTGAAATTAAAAATAGATTTTCCATCTCATGATATTCTTAGCAATCACAATGTTATTTATATTTATCAATAGGTACCAAATACTTACATGAATCCGGAGGAAGTGCCGCAAAACCAGCGCGCACCCGCACAAATAGTGTACGAGTCTGGAGCTCAGCGGCCGCTGCCCAACTACCCGCCCTCCTCTCAGCCACCCAACGGCGGCCATCATCAAAACATGTCGCAATGAAAACCATAATATCGTCACACAAAGATCAATTTTGAATGAAGATAGAACTTGATCAACACATGCTCTTAATACAGTCACATCAAACCAATTTTGAATGAAGATAGAACGTGATCAACACAAGCTCTTTATACGTCACACACAGTTTAATTCTGAAGGAAGGAAGAACGGGATCAACATAAGTTATTAATACCGTTACAAACAGTTGAATTCTGAATGAAGATAGAACGTCATCAACACAAGCTCTTAATACCGACACCTACATAAGCTCTTAATACCAACACCTACAGATAAATTTGGAATGAAGATAGAACGTCATCAACACAAGCTCTGAGCATTCACTTCCAGCTGTTAAGAGACGTATCTTTTTATTCACATACTTTAAAATTGATTGCATGCTTAGACTTCTATTAATTAACCTTTGAATGAGGAGGCAGTTTTGAGTTATGACATTTACAGGATATTGATTGTTGTAATATAAACGCATTTTATGCATTGTTGTGATCGCTGGCATTGTACTTATTTCGTTTGATAACGACGATTTTAACTACCGTATAATATACTTGGATAACAAATGGATCACTTCTTTATATATGCGCTGTAACGAGCGGCTTATACATTAAGAATGTAATTATCCATTTGGATTAAGTCGTTTTTCGTTATTGTCAATGTAAATATGAGTACATGTTATTATTTCATAGTTAATTCATGGTAACATGTTGTATGTAAGTAGTTAAAATATATGATGTGAGATAACTATGACTTCATGATAAGTTTATGTCATTCGAGGTAGAATCAACGGGCATGTTTGTGTCGTGAGATGGTTTGACTTGCGCGATTGTTTAATTCAAGGCTGTGTTATCTCCACAAGGGATTTTGCGAGGGATTGCAAATTATATTATGAATTCAATTATTTAGTTTTAATTTTATATATTCAAATGATTTATTCGTTATTAATTTTATTTTTTATGTAAATTATTTATCATATATGGTAGGTATGATAAAATACATGAAAACCAATGATAGGTTCGAAATTATTTCGTGCCATTATAAAGTAAAGTTATGCGGACGAAGCAAGTCGAATAAGTAGCACTTTTTCCGTTGATCTGCCGCCTTATTCATAAGCTATCGCTTGTAGGTTTAAGTTGCATCGACTTGGTCTAACGAAGTTGTGACGAAGTATAAAAATGTGAATTGGTTTTGTCTACCTTTTGCCGAATAAGCCGCCTTGATCTCATGGAGAAGTAACATGTTACGTTTATTTATATATTCCTAAATTTATAATAAATTTTATTAAATGATATTTGTAACCTCATTAAAGTCGATGATATAAATTTGTTTTAATGTCTAGCTATTTATATACTAACAAGATCGGTACTTGTATCGGAGTGAGAATAATATGTTATAATTCAGTATTTTTAAGGTAATTTGTGAATTTCTTTTTTAAAAACTTATTCACTGAAAATTTAAATGTTATGGTTTGTCATAGTCTTATTTATATAAGCTATAAATCGAATTCAGATTTTTGGAATGAAAAAGGGAGGGGTCATAATTTCTTTTATTATGTAATTTCCGTATTTTATGATATTGTTTTATAAGGAACACTTCTTTAACATGATGATATTTTATATTCAACTGTTCCTTTTGCGTATTTGTTACTATGTTGCGTTCATTTGTGCAACACTTTAACTTTTTTATGTTGGGTTATTATTATAGTGAGATTTCTATAAATAATTTTATTTTTTATATCAAAATTTATATAAATCGGTAAATATAAGCCGACATTACACTTACGAGGAGCTCGATGGTGCAGGGGGCTAGCGCGTTCGGCTGCGATCTTTGAAGTTAAGCAACTTTCGCAATGGTCGGTCATTGGATGGGTGACCAAAAATCTTCTATCTCGACTTCGTCCGCGCTTCGGAAGGCACGTTAAGCCGTTGGTCCCGGCTGCATCTGGACTCGTAAGCACCAGCCATTTCGCACTAGGCCCGCGTAGTGGGTCATGGCCCAATCTCTCTATTCCATCGATAGGGAAGGCCTGTGCCCCATCTCTCTATTCCATCGATGGGGAAGGCCTGTGACCCATCTCTATTCCAGCGATAGGGAAAGCCTGTGCCCTAGCAGTGAGGACATTAATAGGCTGATTATGATGATGATGATTACACTTACGAAAGTACATCGCGGAAACACTTTTCCAATGGCATCCAACTTTTTCCAATTATGATAAAAAAATCGCGCTCCACCCGATTTTATCTCGAAATAATGCATTGCAACGAAACTTACAGAAATGTAAACAATGCATCACTTGTCAAACGTTTTTAATTCGTGCTGGCTGAATAACAAAAGTACAAGATTTCCAAAATGGTTTCGTCAATTATGATCATAATTTTGTGAATCACTCGCTGCGGAACTTTTGTAAATATTAGCCGATTGGCTAAAGCTATTTCTTGGCCTAAGATAAAGGATACATTCATTTATATCGTTAGAAAAATTGATATTGGAATCAACTTAATAATAACAGATAAGTTAATCAATTTTATGTTTATTTATGAAAAAATATTAGATGTAAACTGTGGCAACAATTTGGACCAAGCCTTCATAATACAATATTTTTTTAAAATAGGATTTAAAATGACTAGTGTCGGGTCAGAGACGGAAAACTGAAAATGTTCATGTATTTATTATCAACATGACTGGGTTTTATTATTATTTTAAATCTTATCTTTATTATTATAGCCCAGGGAAATTAGACGTATTATAGAAAAATCATTTTAAGTACTGTAAGAATATGAAACAATAATTAAAAGGTAGGAAAATTACTCCTATCTTGAGACCGATGCGTATGGCAAATACAGACTGCTCACTTGCACCAATGTTCTTCAATAAATAAATATTTCCAACACTCACACCAATTAGCCTAGCCCCAAAGCAAGCACTGTAAGGCTTGTGTTATGGGATGCTAGGGTAACGGATAGAATACATATCAGTATATGTATTCTATCCGTTACCCTACAGTGTACATATATAAGTATATTTATATAGACATACATATTAAACATCCATGACTGGAGTACAAATGCTCGTATTCATCACACAAACAATATAAAAATATACTTATAATTTATATAGAAATACATATTAAAAATCCATGACTGGAGTGAAAAAATGATATACAATTTTTAAAAGCTAATTTTAAATCTGATTTATTTCTATTTGACTTTAAACTATTGACATAGATGGAATGTACTATTAAACAGGATTGAGTCTATTTGATTTTAGAAAGTGGCTCTACGTATACAGTTTATGTTAAAGGTTCTATTTCGAAGCACGCTACGAACAACATACACATATACAGTAATAAAATTGTAATTATTATGTACCGTTAAAATATGTGTATAATGTTCCTGTACTAATAGATGATTTTTTAATATGGGAATATGGACTGTATCAGGTGGCTAATAATGTAGAGAGTATTTTTCAAAGATACGTTAGTTAATTTTTAACATAACTTTATATTTTCGTTCGTTATTAAGACTCCATTATCTATTTATACATAGAATGCAACGAAGACGCTTTTTGCGTCCGTCTGTAGGTTTAAGCGGATACCAATTTCTCCTAAAACCGCGTTTAAAAAGGAGACAAAAAATTATATAATCTTGTGGGCCACGTTCGTGAGCTCGTATTTTTTATGTAAAATGGTATAAGGGCGTGGTTTGTTGTTTATTTATATTCTCTCAAAAATCTTACAGTACAATACACTCAGGTACTTACCTGAGTGTATTTTTTAGGTAGGTTCACATTTTTGTTTTGTGTGAGGCGGGGCGGCTTAGGTGTAAATGTTTGATGCAATGATGTGCGAATCATTTTTAGAGATTTAATAAATGCTTTTTAAGTAGGCTCAGTTACCAATCAGATCCAAATTAAAATTACATAAAGCTAAGCGTTATGCATTTTTTTTTAAATTTAAATTTCATATAATTAGAAGAAGTCATTTAAAGGTCATTCATTATTAGTACGAATGTAGATAATTCATAAAGTTTGTGATTGTTGCGACGTTTTTTGATCGATTAAAATATAAATTTGAGCGTATCTTCAGTACCCCATTGTACATATTGTATATTCCCTTGCTATTACATCAAACATTTATCAAGAATATAAGAATCATAAAGTGGCAGATATTTATACAAGTAATTTGGTATATAATTTTTTGGTACATTCGTAATTTTTCTGTACTTTAAGTAGCGATGTATTGAGTTGATATAAAAGAAAAGTGTTTGAATTTTTTTATTAGAGAGTCTGTGCCAATATTTTTGTTTACATAGTTTATTTTAGTTAAATCTTTCGAATTTTATGATCGTTTATAGGTTTTATATTTAATGTAACAAGGTACGAAGTATTTTTTTTTATACGACCAAAATTGAGTTGTTTGTTTAAATGAAAGATGTAAAGTGTTGTGAATGTTTTCTAGTACTAATTATTGGATATTTTAATGTTGGTTAATTGTATTTTTAATGTGTTGTAGCTTAAGTCTTATCTTTGTATTGATGTGATTGTGTGTTCGCCGCTGCCGCGATGCACAGGAGCGCAGTATGGGAGTAAATTGGCTGTTATGTATTGAAAATATTTCTGAATGTTTCTACACTTTCATATTAATATAATACTATTTTGTATATATCTTTTTACATTGTCGAAACTATTTACATTATCTATAGGTAATAAAATGTCATCTTGTTTAAGTTTAATCTTAAGCAAAATATACTAATAAGTACTATGTTTTACTTGCCATATCAGATGACGTTATGAATAAATTTACCAAATAGGTTACCATTGATATTATTTAATGAATTTATTTTATAAGTGACCTATAAGTATAATATAAGTGTGTTAGGATGTTCATATATTTCAAAGACAACTTTAGGTTAGTTTCATGCCTGTTCATGTTATGGAAGAAGAGTTACGCCAAATTTGATTGTTTTGTTACTTATCTGTGCAGTCGAAACCACTACAGTGGTTACACTTGAGTACGAATATAGCTCTTATAACTATTTGTTAAAGGTGTTGTGGAAGTCAAATTGCATCTGCCTTAATGGGTTTTACTGTATAAAAATAGGTTGAGTACAGTACCCTTAGCACGAACTAATATCGAATTCGTATAGTTTGCGAGTCCGAGATGTCATTGTCAAATGTGCACTGATTTTTAGTTCTGGTTACGTACGTTATGGCGCTAATGTTCAAGTTTTCATACAAAATTTGACAAAGACATTCCACACTCGTAAACGTTAAGAATTCGATATTGGTTCGTGCTGAGGTTACAGTACGTCCGGTTAATTCAAAGTTATCCTTTCGGCCGCGTAATGCATTTTTCATTTGTGGGAATGTCTATTATGCAGTCAGCAAACGGTGAACTTAAGACCGATCGAGATATATCAGGCAAACTGTACTGTGAGTCCAAAATAAAGGTTCTTAAATCTTTTTTTGTATCCATATGCTGGTGCTTTGTATTAAATTTTATTGCTGTTTCTGAGTTGGTCGTAACTGTACTCTAAAACATAGCACTTACCATCGCATTTATATGTAAATAAGTACAAATAATGACTTCTGCTTTTGAAATTATTTGAGCAACATTTTTCATTTGATAGTAAGGAAATTAATGAAAGGAAACTAAAAAAAAAGACAGTTCGTAACCAAGTAATAGAAACCATTTTCTTTGCTAAGTAACCGTTTGTTTTATTGAAGAATTCTGGTGTCAACTAATGACTTGGTTATTTAGCAACAAAGTCATTACTTAGCAACAAGTAATTATATGTTTATAAATACGAGTGGTGTTTTACTGTGTACACTGAAATATTTTATTGCACAGTATAAGGATGCTATTTTTTCAAATTCAAAGTACAGTGTTCTAATATCAGTGGTACTAACAATAAAAAGGAAATAATTGGTGTATATGTTTTAAGACTAGTTATTTATGGTTCGCATCAAAATAGCAAGAATAAAGAAAGAAACAGCTAGAATTATTCTAGTGATTTTGTATTTTCTTTCCTATTTTTTCTCCATAAAATTTCAAGTTATCATATCGTCGACTTTCAAGTAATTTTTCGGTAGCTACCAAGAATATACCTTTATACAGTTTGAATGAGTTCTCAATGGTTGTTCAACAACTGTTCTGTCCCTTCGAACTGGTGATTTTTCTTTTGTGACAATGACCACGGTGCCGCTTTGTACATTTAAATGCACAAATATAATTTAAAAGAAATATATTGTGTCGTCAAAGCGTTATGACCTATCTTAGTTACCGTCGTTAGTACCTATCTCTGTTGAATATTTTTGCATACTATATCTATGTTGTTGTTTTAAATTGTTATAAAGTTTCAAACACATTATAATTATTTTATTTATCAAAATAATATGTGTGCATGAAACGATGTATGTTACTACTGCATCGTGGTCATTAATTACGATTTAGAACGAAAAACTTTTGTTTACGAATTATGATATTGTAATGTGTTGTGCATATTCAATATTCGAGGTCACCTTCTTCCTCTTTAGAGCATCCACACATTCAGGCAGACTTAAGTTTTTATTAGCCGATAGTTTAGTAGAGTTTTTGGTCAGTACGAATAGGAATGCATGCTTTTGTACCTGTAAAATAAATTATCGACGAACTATTGTGACCAGTAGAATAAGCAGTCTGTAAGGGCTCTCACTGTGCGCTAGATTTCCTACAGTATGAGTATTAGATGTTGAATGTAAATTACTCTTTAAGGGCCCTTTTACAAAATAGGCTAGTAGACTCATGTCAAATTGCACTATACAAATGTTTATTTCTTATAATTTTTGGTATGAGGAACCTAAATACATCGATTTCACTTCATAAAATTAGAAGATGGCTGTAGTAATTTAATTTGAAAAATAGTTTTTTAGTCTATGCTTTTTAAACACTAAAAACGCTGTCCACTATGATTGTGACGTCAACATAATAGCAAAACAACTAAACGTCATTGTCGTGTTACTGTGGTTTCTTTCGTCCGACTAAAATATATCTAAAAACTCTTATATCTTGAAGAAAAGTTTCCGTTTATTGGTTTTCTTCACTAAATTAATGCTGGACGCCGGATTTGTGAAAGCAGAAACGACAAAACTCTTTGACTTAGCAGGTACATTCATAACCTTAAAAATTTAAACTACAACATTTCTGGAGTTTCTAACGATGTGTTTCTTTATTTTCGTATAATACAATCATGATAATTACTATATTTATCATGAAATTTATTAGAAATCATGGTTTTGTAATGCAAATTCAGATAGGTTATATTTTACGTGCTTGCGAGTGTTTGTTTACTATTGTTCCCGTCATACCATAGATAATCTATAGACTAAAATGGCCGACAGCGTTTTTGTATGTCCATGAAATATCTATTTTAAAATTAAAGTTTTGTAGCTTTCTAGGTAAAAAAAAAAAATACAATACACGTTTTTTCGGTCTAATTGAACAATTATTAACCATTTAAAACATATTTCCAAAAAGTGTCTACTAGCCTATTGCGCCGCTGCCGTACTGATCGGCGCGTAGGTAGATTTGCACTAGTATATATTGCATTTTACGGGTGATGTTTCGAGTCATTTAATAATGATTAATGAACTAATTATAAAAATATATACATATTTCAGTAGTTCAATGATGGTAGATCAGTTTTATGAAAGTTTTTGATCTCGCGGAGGTTAGATGTTTTTTTTTGATAATTAATGAGATGGAAAATCAAAATTCTAATACATTATCTTACAACAAAACCATATTTCGGATGTCGTAATAATTAATTTGACCTAATTTATTGAACATTATTGAGAGATTGAGGAGTTTGAAGTTGTGCATATTATCGTTTTTTCCGTAAACTAGCTGCAGTAGAACGATCAGTACAAAAAAAGGAAAATAGTATTTGCAAATATTCGACATAAATTTACAAAAGGAAGAATAAATCTACTGTTAACTTCTATTGGAAATAGTCAAAATCTTTTCAAAGGGGGTAAACGAGGCGCTCAAAATTTACTTTTTTTTTGCAAAACATGTGAACGGGTTCTTATGGATAGGTGTGGTAGTATTTTTTACTAAATAAAAAGTTTCATATTATAAACTGAAAAAGTTTTGTATTAAGTTTTTAGGAAACTACCTCCATAAGTTATGTGCATTCATTTCGTACTTTTGAAGTATGAAACAATGAATTTAAATTAATTAATTCACAATCATTTATATTACAGTTTAGGAAATCTTGCACATGTGTTACAGTGCATTCTCATAGTAAGTGGCATGCATTATCATCATAATTTTGTATTACATTTGGATGATAATATTGCTTGTTGTAAATATTTGCGATTAAGATAACTATCTATATGTATAGCGTTAAGAGAACGGACGTACGCTTTGGTATATTTTGACATTGATGTGTATTTGGGTTTTCCATTTATATCACAACATAACAAAAGTGTACGTGTTTGATAGCGTTATAATAAGATATATATTTTGCTCCCATTTAACGATTTAGTAGTAATTCCGATGTGAAAGGGTACAGGGTATAATGCCAAATGTGGAAGTTGCGAAGTGATATTGTGAAGTGAATTTGTAATTTGTAATAAATGCTGCATTCGTACGAAAGGTTGTCCTAGAATGAAGAAATATAAGATTATGAAAAAATTGAAAATTATCTCTTTATTCAACGTACACGTTACAACAATCGTTTCACAACAATCTCCTCTTACATTAATTTGTTACATAACAATACTATGTAATAAAATATCTATGATTACGTTACCTATGATTAAAAAACAAACAATACCCAACTCGTTAACTATCTTGTCTAACAGCAGAATATGGGATACAATTCCGAACTTGTAAATAAGATTCAAAGGAGTCTCTTGGAAATCGTAAAATTAATAAGAGTTCCAAGTTGTATTAGCATCAACACCTTCGGTTTTAATATCGTTGAGTAGTAGTAGTAGTTCGGCTTTATGCTTATGTGATCCTTTAAGCTACATTCTGCCCTTTGCACATTCTCCAGTAATGTCCTTTCTGACTCATCAGCTCGGCATGGTTGCCTTTCTCGACAATTTTACCTGTTCCAAAAAATTAAATCAATTAGAACTCTGTTGTCTCAAGAGGCCGGAATGCGAGTTGCGTCCTGATTTTATTTTAATATCGGGTATGCTTTAAAGTCGAAACATGTGCGTGTGGACTGAGTGATCTTTTCAAAAAACTCATCCAATCACAACCAAATTATAAGAGGATTTAGGAAATAATTGTGAAAACTTAATGGTCGGTATAAAATTTGTGAAACCTAAACAAAGAAAGTTAGAAATAATTAACTGGATCACTCAATCTGGACACTTGAAGAATAAGCCATAACGCGTATCCAAGAAAATATTACCTATGTGTTTATAATTTGTATTTGAAATAATTGTGTAGAATTTGTGAAAGCTGCTAAACAAATTTTCGATTCATTTCAAAGCCACGTTTAAGATTTAGAACGGTTTATATGGATCACTCAGAATGCACTATGTTCATTTGAGTAATCTTTTAAAACACTACCTTATACTGAAAAAGTATGAAACATCATGTTTGTTATAAATTATGCTTCTGGGAAAATTTGTGAAACAAAGATCGGGATTAAAATCTTACTGGTTTAAGAGAAAATGTAAATCTTGTTTTTCCTCGATCGTCCCAACTGAGTGATCCTTATCTTGAACTATATTTGATAAACCCAAACTTATAGGTTGAAGGTAGTTACATCAGAAATTGTGAAAAATGTTGTACTATTATTTAACGAACCAATCGTCTCAGTAAGTGTTATATTTTTAAAGAAAACTCATTTTTTACAATCCTTAAGGAAAACGTTGAGTAGGGTACTTGTACTTTTTTATTTTGTCGGATTTTTTTTCGACTACCCTATTCAATGCTAACATTGTGTATATTCATTACAATTTGCGAAGCTGGCGGCGTTGTGCAGTGCATCTAATGCAATGAAGTTTGTTTATAGTTTTTTTATTTATATAGATAGGACCGACAAATGACTCCATCCCACCTGAAGGTAAAGTCCAGACGCGAAGATAGCAGATACAGCAGTTCTACCTGCCACAGCAGCTATCTTCACCCTGCCGGCCTGCGAGTTGCTTCTTCACGCCTCTTTTAAAGGTGCCCAGGTTGTAAGAGGGAGGGAACACGTGAGCGGGCAGAGCATCCCATTTACGGCTAGTGCGACAAAGAAATGAGTTACCAAATTTCTTTGTACGCGTTGGAATTGTGGCCACAGTTAGGCGGTGGCAACGTAGGCCAGCGCGCGTGGTCCTCTGAAGGAAAGGGGAAGGTGGAATGAGGGAGAATAACTCCTTAGAACACTTGTCTGTACCACACAGACGATATAACGCGCTTAGTGACGAAACGTCACGGCGTAATTGAAGAGGCTCAAGGTGTTTAGTCACCTCCTCATCGCCTATGATGCGGATCGCGTGCCGCTGTAACCTATCCAAAGCATCGAGCAAGTACTTTGATATTAGGCATCGTTGTGCCACAATGGGGTAATGACGGTGGCAGTGCAATGAATGAAGTCCCGATGATATTGGCCACTACAGAGGACATGGTGTCCATAACGAAAAAATAGTCTGTTATGATGATTTGATGGGAAAAATGTATAACAGCAAAGAAGAAGAACCAGTTATTTTACATACTACAGATTTATCGATTAGGTAACATTTTAGTAGACTATGAATGTTAGGAAAAAACTTTTTTTTTGTGTGTAGAATTCCTTAGTATGATAAACCTAATACAATGTGAAAAAACCTAACTTTGCTGAAAATTTGTCACTTAAAAACGTCATTTAATGTTGAAATTATGTATTAAGTAGTAAAAATATTATAAAAACATCTTTAAAACTTTATAAAAACAAAACTTACACAACTCTCGGTACTCAAGTAAACCGATATGGTCACCCTACTCAACGTTTTCCTTAAGGATTGTAAAAACTGAGTTATCTTTTAAAATATAACACTTACTGGGACAATTGGTGCGTCAAATATTAGTACAACATTTTTCACAATTTCTGATGTAACTACCTTCTACCTATAAGTTTGGGTTTATTAATTTATATAGTTCAAGATAAGGATCACTCAGTTGGGACGATCGAGAAAAAACAAGATTTTCATTTTCTCTTAAACCAGTAAGATTTCAATCCCGATCTTTCCCCTATCTCTTTGTTTCACAAATTTTCCCAGAAGCATAATTTATAACAAACATGATAATGTTTCATACTTTTTCAGTATAAGGTAGTGTTTTAAAAGATCACTGAAATGAACGTAGTGCTTTCTGAGTGATCCATATAAACCGTTCTAAATCTTAAACGTGCAACTCGGCTTTCACAAATTCTTCACAATTATTTCAAATACAAATTATAAACACATTAGTAGTATTTTCTTGGATACGCGTTATAGCTTATTCTTCAGGTGTCCAGATTGAGTGATCCAGTTAATTAGTTCTAACTTTCTTTGTTTAGGTTTCACAAATTTTATACCTTACCATTAAGTTTTCACAATTATTTCTTATAATTTGGTTGTGGTTGGATGAGTTTTTTGAAAAGATCACTCAGTCCACACGCATATTAGTAAAGATCATTACCTAACTTACATGCCACTGATCGGCGTTATACATTTTTCCAAGCTAATTTCGACGTTAACGCAAACGCGATAGTAAAGTAAAATCAAGGTGCAACTCTCATTTGGGCCTCCTTAGGTCCTACGAAGCTCTCTTACTGACTCCGTTTTCATTATTCAATAAAACATTTCAATCTGGAGTTCAAAAGTAATATGTCGGTGTTTATTATTATTTATCGATACCATATTAGTCGCTCTAGTGCGGAGGGCCACGGATACATAGTGGTATACCGTGGTCCTATCAGTAGGACAAACCGGTGGGACCACGGGCGTTTAGTCAAGACAATGCAGCTATTTGTCTAATGTGACCAATGGGCTGAAAATTAACTTTTACCTAACTGCTTTTTACATAAGAATTATACCTTTATCCATGACACAGATTAGATCGGCATTCTTGATCGTTGAGAGCCGATGTGCGATTGTTATGCAGGTGCGTCCCTTAGCTGCCTTCTCTAATGCTTCAGTAACAGCCTGAAACAAAGATATTTAAATTGTACTTAATGTGATTGGCGCGGAATAGAGTAAAATACGTAATTTCACTAACATCGCAGTTTCAATAATCAACCTCCAGTTAAAGGTAAGGATAACCTGACTCCGTGACTTTTCATCAGTTGTAATTATAATAAAAATATCTAGGCAACAATAATCAACCTATCTCTCACTGGAATTTGATGAATTATTTATTGAAAGTGATCGTTAGTCACTAGAAGAAATCTGACATCAAAAAATCTTATAAGTTAAGTCTTAATTGATGAACTCGATGGCGCATCGAAGTTAAGTAACTTTCGCAATGATCGTTGATTGGATGGGTGAGCAAAAAATTATTATCACGAGCTCCTCCGTGCTTCGGAAGGCATGTTAAGCCGTTGGTTCCGGCTGCATCCGCAGGCGTTAGCACCCACCAATCTGCACTGGGCCCAATCTCCCTATTCAAATTCATATGGAACGCCTATGCCCCAGCAGTGAGGTGATTAAAAAAGGATAATGAAGATGAAATATTGATCTATGTTTTGTACTAAACCTGGTTAATTCTGGTTAACACATAGTGGTAAAACTACCGCTAGATGTTCACATCCACAGGACTAGGTATGACAGAGAATCGGCAATATGTGAATGATATTACTCGCCCCGACATTGTTGCGTGGGGATATGTCAGTAGGGATATATGAAACTGGGGAGAATTTCTTGCTTCGTTACTTTTGATTCGCACCTAAGTTTGAAGTTATATTTACTTTGGTATCTATGTATGTCTGATAGCTGTTTACCATCAGGTCGACTTAAACATATAAGTACAATAACCACTCACCCGCTCCCTGTTAGCGTCGAGCGCTGACGTGGCCTCGTTGTACAGCAGGAGACGCGGGCACCGGATAAGCGCGCGCGATACAGACACGCTGCTTCTGCCCGCCTGACAGTTAGGCGCCACTCGACCCGAGGTTCGTGTCATAACCCTGTCATGAAACACTCACCCGTTTGCTGTTAGCGTCGAGCGCTGACGTGGCCTCGTCGAGCAGCAGGAGGCGCGGAAACGAGAAGAGCACGCGCGCAATTCAAACACGCTGCTTCTGACCGCCTGACAGCTGGGGGCCGCTTGACCCGAGGTTGATATAGTAGCCCTGTCATCTAACACACCCGCTCGCTGTTAGCGTTAAGTAGCAGGAGGCGCGGACACCGGATGATCGCGCGCGCGATGAATACACGCTGCTTGTGACCGCCTGGCACCTGGGCGCCGCTCGACGCGAGGATTGTATCGTAGGCCTGTCATCAAACACTCACCCGCTCGCTGTTAGCGTCGAGGGCTGACGTAGCCTCATCGAGCAGCAAGAGGCGCGGGCACCGGATGAGTGCGCGCGCGATGCAAACACGCTGCTTCTGACCGCCTGACAGCTGGGCGCCGCTCGACCCGAGGTTCGTGTCATAACCCTGTCATCAAATTATTGAAATAGATAATCACTTCAGATTAACGTGATTTTAATGACTACCTCCAATTTCTGATTCTATCATCATGAGAGATGAATGGAGTTATCCAAATAAATTTTTGTCCAAATATACAAGGAGCAAATTGATGGCGCAAGTGGTACTAAGTGACGTTTTCACAATGACCGGCACTGCCGGATTTACGGGAGGGCAACCGGGGCGAAAGCCCCGGGGCCTCCACAAACGGGGGGCCTCCATAATAGAGACTTCGGAAAAAAAATCTTTCAAATTCCAACTAGTAAACACTAGTAAACATCTTTTCCTTTGATATTTTTTTTTGCTCTTTTACCCTTACCTACAGCCTACAGTACTTTGTACATCTAACATACATGATTATTTGATTATATTAATCTTAAATAACAGAAATCATTGATCTATATTTGTTCACTCCAATCAGACAATCAGTGAAATATCAAAATCTCAAATGGCCCTGATAAGCACTTCCAATTCACTACCCATCTTGAGGGAGTACCCCAATCGCTTAATGGCTGCAGGGCCGAATTTATCCCATCTGAAATCGGTCCTCAATTGTCCTCTTCATAAAACCGAATTTGCATCATACTCTTTCACGGTACATGCCGTCCGCTTGTGGAACTCGCTGCCAGCAGGAATCAGAGACAGACCAACTGTTGCTACATTTAAAAAACGGTTGAAGGAACACTATCCTCTTGACTCACTGTTTCCGAACTGTATTGCTTCTCCTTTTAGCACTTGTATATTTCATTTTAGTATATATGTTTATTAGTATGTCTATGTAGATATATATGTAGGTTTTGTTTATGTAAGTATTGTATTTTGTTATTTTTATTCAGGAGGCACACACTGACGACCTTTTATTTTATGTTTTTTCCTTTCGCGGGCCTGCTGGAAGAAATTTCAATATGAAATAAGCAGTGCCCTTGTACAAATTTCTTGTTCCTGTTCTTATCTATTTTATTGTGTGTGTACTAAATTAGTAAATAAATAAATAAAAAAAAATATGATATGGAAATGCATGTAGTCTGCTTCCCATTTTGGACAGATCGAAAGAGTTGGTGTTAGCCAATATTTTTTTGTAATTTCGATATTTTATTGTGTGGTTGCGATGTGCTGGTTGAACGTTATTGTAAGAGTAAAATGATAATACCTACACATACGAAGGTTGATTTCTATAACGAACACATACCTTTGGTAGGGAGACGATGAAGTTATGTATATTGGCCGCCTTCGCTGCGGCGACGACCTCGTGCATGGTGACCTTGCGATTGTTATCCCCGTACGCAATGTTCTCGGCAAGCGTGCGGTCGAATAGCACTGGCTCCTGCTGCACCACGCCCAACTGGCGACGCAGCCGCGGTACAGTCATCCCCTGTCGTGTTTCCACGCCGTCGAGCTCCTGAATTACACATTTTTATTTGTTTCATATCAGTAAACCTATCTAAGTTAAATACCTAACCAACCTCAAAGTATGCACTGCAAAGTTTCTGCTATTGCATTTCTTGTATGGGATACAAGCCATGACTACGGACCAATACTTTTACATGCCATGACTTAGGTACAAATGCTCGTATTCATCATACAAACATTAGAACCCAGGATCTCTGAGTGGGCGACACCTTGAAAAGCAGTCTACATAGCACTCACACCACGGAGGTCGTAGTATTCTTCTCAGTATCTTTCTGTAACTTCTGTAATAGTTTTTAATAATTTAATAATTATTGGTATGGCAAATAAAAATGCGCAACAATCTCTATTGGAGGAAAATGAAAATACAAACTTGCTTGTATAACTTGTATTCCAAGACTTCTCGTTTTTCACGTTACTAAGGAAACGTGTGTCAGAGACAACGTTAAGTTGAGTTTACACCTCTAACACCGCACCTTAAACTTAACTAACGTAAAGATATCTACCTATTTGACAAATTACGTTGTAAGCCTAAACCCTTTACAAAATAGTTGTGTTTTTCTGCAGACAAGGGTTTTGTTAAGATGTCCGCTATCATTTCGGACGTTGACAAGAAATTTACTTTAATTAACCGATTGCCTACCGCCTCCCGAACGAAGTGATGGCGTATATCTATATGCTTGGATCTACCGTGAAACATGCTATTTTCAGTTAGTATAAGAGCAGACTGGTTGTCATTAAAAATCTTTATATCGACATTGGTATTACATACATTGTATTGGTATTGGTATACATTCTTTATAAAAAGTTTTAATAAATAGTGCCTCTTTACAAGAATCGGAAAGCGAAATGTACTCCGGTTCGGTACTCGATAACGCGACTGTTCGCTGTTTCCTACTTTCCCAACAAGTCAGTGAATTACCAATTTTGAAAACATAGCCCGTATAGGAACGTCTGTATAGAAATTTCGTTAGAAGCCCAGGCAGCATCCGCAAAACCTGTCACAGATAAGCCACTTTTCTCATAAGTAATACAGTAATCTATCGTACCTTTTAGATAACGCAACACGCGTTTAGCAGCTCTCCAGTGTTCATCGGAAAAACAGTTGTTGAACTGACTTAATACACTGACAGCATGACATATATCTGGGCGCGAACAGACAGCTTTAAACATAATACAACCAATTAACTCACGATACTCCAAACTGTCATAATTCTCTTCAGCCTTTAATAATTTTTGACACTGCATAGGAGTCGCAATAGGTTTGCAGTCTTGCATTTTGTATTTTTCTAAAATCTTTTGTATATAAGAACTTTGATCTAATACAATCTTACCATTTTGCTTTTTGATTCTTAATCCTAGAACTTTGTTTACTGGACCAAGATCTTTCATCACAAACTCCTTCATCAAGAGTTGCTTAATTTCAGCCTTTTGTTGTTTACAATTGCTTAAAACGATCAAATCATCAACATATAGTGCGATGATTATTAGTTCATCACCTTTTCTCAACACGTAAACACATGGCTCAGAAGATAATCTAATGAAATTTAATTTATTTACGAGTATCCGATTTATTTTCTCATTCCAGGCTTTAGGTGCTTGTTTTAGACCATACACAGAAGGCTGTGTACTAACAAAGTGTATCGACTACGTAAGGACGTAGTCGATACACTTTGTTCTTTCCCTTGCCTTTTTCAAAGCCTTCCGGTATTTCCATGAATACTGTTTCATTTAAATCTCCATTTAGAAAAGCCGTTTTAACATCCATGAGGTCTATCTCCATATCATACTCGGCAGCTAAGGCTAACAACATTCTTATAGTTTCATATCTCACTACAGGCGAAAAACTTTCAAAGTAGTCTACTCCGTATTTTTGTGTAAAACCTTTGGCTACAAGACGCGCTTTATATTGTAAAAGCTCACCATTTAACCCTCTCTTTTTCTTAAAGATCCATTTAGTTTTTACTGGTTTTGCACCTTTGGGTAGATCAGTTAATGTAAAGCACTGGTTATCTAGAAATGACTGGTACTCATCTTTCATAGCAGCTCGCCACTGCTCTGCTTCAGGCCCATTTAAGGCATCTTTCACAGTATTGGGTTCTTCAGTGCCAATGGCTTCGCCAACCAAGAATGAACATATGAATGAGTTCTCAGCTTCTTCGTGTCCAGTTCTCGAATCATCTGAATCAAATGAATTATCTGGAACATTAGTAACATCTGAAGAATGATCTACGTACGAGCTACTAGTTGATGATAATAATGATACATTGTCATCAATGTTTTCATTAGTGTTATCAATAGGATCTGGAATTTGTTCAGATTCTATCCTACTTTCGTTATTTTTAGAAGGACGCGGAGGCTTCGCTTCTAAGTTGACTACAATTTCTTGTTTAGAAATGTTAAGGTCTTTAAGAAATTTGTTTTCAATGAATTTAACATTCCTCGCGATTGTTAACTTAAAGTTTACAGTATCTAGAAGCCTGTACCCTTTAGTAGTCTCACAGTATCCTGCAAAAATATACGGCTTAGATTTGCGATCCAGTTTGTTACGATTGTTTTGTACAACATATACCAAACAACCAAACACTCGTAAGTTAATAAGATTTACCTTACATCCAGTGTAAACTTCTTCTGGAGTTGCACCTCTAACTGCCTTGGTGGGTGAGCGATTTTTTATATTTACCGCAGTATTTGCAGCTTCAGCCAAGAAACGATGGTCCAAGCCAGCTTCGATTAGCATACAGCGCACCGCCTCCACAATGGTTCGGTTTGCACGTTCTGCAACTGCATTCTGCTGTGGGCAGTGGGGAACTGTAGTATGATGTTTAATTCCACACTCGCTTAAATAATTTTTAAATTGCTCGTTAATATATTCGCCACCGTTGTCGCTTCGTAGAACTTTAATCTTTTTATCAGTTTCATTCTCAACAAGGGCTTTAAAACTTAAAAAACACTCAAAAACTTTATCTTTCGATGTAATAAAATAGCAAAAAATCGTCAATAAATGTTAGCAAATATCTCGCAGGGCCTAAGGATTTCACAGACATAGGACCGCACACATCGGTGTGTATTAGACCTAAAACTTCCTTTGCTCGTGAAAAAGATTTCTTAGGTAAAGGTAATTTGGTAACCTTACCTTCGATACAGGCGATACATTGCTCATATGTGGACATATCATAGTCGATTCCAGCTGCCATACCATACCTGAGTAAGTTCATGCTGCGACTATTCAAATGTCCTAATCGACGATGCCACAAACCCTGGGATAGAACTTCCACATGGGTTTCTGAAGAAGTGTTTACTGGCATAGCGGTATGTTCGCGTTTCACGAAATTAATGGATGCCTGACCGGTTTCTAATTTATATAATCCGCAAGCATTCTTTTTTGCAACAGCGACCACCGTATTATCATCATAAATTTTACAAAAGTTAGATAAAAATTTTACTTCAAAACCTTTTTGTGTCAAAACACTAACTGACATGAGATTACATGACAACTTCGGTATGTATTCTACATTACAAAGAGTTTTTACTTCATTTTGTAAAAAAAGTTTTACATTACCTCGAGCTGCTGTATAAAGCTTATCACCATTTGCTACACTAATCGGCATCGGTTTTTCGTAGACAAAATTACTTAAAATGTCTCTATTATTGGTCATGTGACACGTTGCACCGCTGTCGATGTACCACTCATCACGATCAAGCTTGGACATTAATGCAGATAACAAAGTTGTCTTTACGGTTCTCTGCATCTTCTCCTTGCTGTTCTGAGAAGAGCACGATGGTTTATGCTTCGATGCTTTCTTTTTGCAATCCTTTGAGTAGTGTCCAAACTTTTTGCAATTAAAGCACTTTGGTAGTTTTGTAGTTGTCGTCAAGGCATTATCTACTTTGGACTCACCGTCTCTTCTTTGTATCTCTTGCATTTTACAAAATCACTTGAAAGAGTTAGGTTGTTGTTTTCCAAAGTCATTATTAGTGGGTCAAAATCTTTTGGGAGACCACTTAACATGATAATTGCAACAAATTCGTCTTCTAGAGGAGCATTTATATCTTGCAACTGATGTGCTGTATCTAAAATTTTTGTGAGATACGCCTCCATGTTATCAAATTGGTGTATACTTAGACCAAACAATAGTCTAAGTAGGCCTAGCCTTCTACACAGTCCCTTGTCTTCGCAGGACTTTTGAAGATTTTCCCAGGCCTCAAATGCAGTCTGACTGTGTCTGACAACCGAAATAACTGAAGGTTGTACACTCCGACAAATTCGTGCGAGCGCCTTGTCCTGTTTCTTCTTGTCTTCACACTCCGGCTTACCATCTTTGCCGATAGTTATGCATTCAATTAGATCTTCCTGTATGAGTACCATTCTCATTTGGAACTTCCATGTTGTGTAGTTGTCCACCCCGGAAAGATTTTCAATGATATATTGATTACTCATTTTTAAGACAGATTATATTGACTAAAGAAACAAAACCGAAAATAAAATACTTTAAATCCTAAGGCTCTGCTACCATATTGGAGGAAAATGAAAATACAAACTTGCTTGTATAACTTGTATTCCAAGACTTCTCGTTTTTCACGTTACTAAGGAAACGTGTGTCAGAGACAACGTTAAGTTGAGTTTACACCTCTAACAATCTCTTGTGCCTACAAGAAAGTTGAATCCCCTTAGTTAGCCAAGTTAGTTAGCCAATGTTACAAATATCTTTAGGGGGAAATTTTTATTTAGAAGATCTTCAAGATCTTTAAATAGTTTAACCCGCAAACCATTAAACATTAAATTGAACTATTCATAGTTATGATTACAATTTGTTACCTGCAGAATCTTATTCCAATCAATTCGGCTTGTTCTTGTTTTAAACTACTTAAATGGCTGTCTAAAAAAAACTTTTAAAACTGTTTAAAAGACTTTTTGGAGTTTACTCCTTAAGACCTTGCACAATGGACTGGGACCCAGGTTCAGTATATTCAATCATAAGTGTTAGTTTC